ATTTAGGACGGCCGCCCGTAGCTTTCAGCTGAGTGAGCGTGATAATTGGTTCTCGCTTAATGCGTCCGTCTTTGCTAGCCCGGATTACCAAATTCACGTTGGCGGTATTATTCTTTGCCGGCTCGATTGCGTCCAGCCGCTCCATGACGCCATCGACAACCAAATCCCCGTCTTGTCCCACGTAACCGAAGCTACAATCGGCAAAGTGTTGTTCTGTGTCTCTTCCGTTGACTGTCACCTTCATAGTGCCCATTTTGATATCTACAATTTAAATCACTTTGGTTAAATTACGGAAGGCAAGGTGATTTGCAGTAGGCGGCGTTGTTGTGCTATTTTAAAGTGTAAGTATCAAGAATGCTACTTCGAAAAATACAGAAACACTCACTGATGGTCTGGGCTAGAGTGGTGCAGAGACAGCATCCCCGGATGCTTCGCAGCCACAGGTCGATGCAGCTATCGACGAACAAATTTCCATAGACCACGACAACGTGCTTATCTTTAACCAGTTGGCGCAGCCCGCGCTCCAGCCAGTAGTCTACGTCATGCAGCTGTACGTCGAACGTACAGATCCAGTGTTGGATTTCGGTGCGTGACATGGCATATCGGCCGTGGTAGAGGATTACTCGAATCATCCGACGAAACTTGCTAGTTGTGTCGATTACTTTCGTCTCTGGATCGCGGTTATTCTTTACTTCCTCGGCCACTTCGAGCACGAAACGTCCATCGCGGCTCATCTTCTTGAGCAAGATTCCAGCATTAATAGCGTCGCCGAGGAAGAAATCCACTCGTTCTTCCGTGAAATCATCGTGCATTTCCACAATGAATTTCTTGATTGATGACATGTCCACATAATATCCCGTAATGTCAGCCTCAAGGATGCACGCGTGGGCTGCCGTATGCATCACCAATTGTCGACGGTTTCGGATGGTTTCGTTTGGCTGCAGAGGCTCCGCCATGGCAAACTGAACTGACTCGCGAGTCCGTCCCTTCCAGTACTCGTAGTGGGCAATCGCATCCGTCTCGGGCGATGGCAGAGGCTCTCCAGATGGTCCCACAGGTTGTGCTGACATGATGCTCGGATGATTCGAAATGATTAAAATAAAATTCGGCGAAGACAAACAAGCTAGTAATAAAATGAAACAGAAAACCCGTCACCGCGAAAGGATAAATATTGTTGGGTTCTTCGCTTTTTATGAATGAACAGCTGATATTTTCTGTGCTTGCGATGCGGCATTCTGTCACTTGCCAGCCGCCCTGATATGGCAATGCTATCGGAAACTGCGCAGTCTCTGGTCTGTGTCTTGAATATTTTCCAGCCGCGTGTTTTCATTCGGACTTTCCTCTTTCGTATCCCTTTAATTGTCATGATTCGTTTGTTGTATTAAAATCCGGTTTTTGTGGTGGAAATTTACAAATCATCGGCGAATTAATTGGGTTCCTGTGTGTTCTACGCCAAATGATCATAGTGGCTTCAAAATTCGCAAAAATCGCTGGTCGCCTGTCAACCGCCTGGTGGTATACTTTGTGAATTTTGAGTTTGCGGTGTCGGTGTCAGTCGAAATTGTTTGTTGTGCTTTTCCCCTGCACTCCAGTTCTTCAATTCTCCGAATTTGTTGGCATCGATAGTACCCTGTTTTCCCTGTGTTTTTATAATTTATCATTTTTAAGTTTCGAGAATGTCTCCTCCTGCAAAGAAAGCGACTGCGCGAAAGACTGCATCGCGTGCACCGCGCCCGAGTCGAGCAACAGCGGGTTTGAGTTTTGGTTATTCTCCGGACAGCGATGAAGCCCGTTCTTCATCGCGTGTCACTCGATCTCGAGTCTCTCGCCGTACTTCCGCGCAACCAGTGTTTTCTGCGCAATCTTCTGGGTCATCGGGATCGGTGAGTGCAGCAGAGGCTCAGCAACCTTAAACGAGTTGGGCAGATGCAGTAGTCAATGCTTTACAGCGCCGCTATGACAAGCAACGACGACGCACAATTCTGTGACGCAACGCTGCTGTGGTTCGCCGCCGTGCCCGTCGGGGATCATTCCCTACCAGTCCTGACGTTGAGATTCGTCAGCCATCACCGAAGAAGCTGCAGACGCAGGCGGAAAGACAGTTGGGTACTCCTGATTTGACTGAAGAGGAGCCATCATCCTCTGAGACTCCGTCTGTACGGGCAAAGCGAGGTATTGTGTAGTCTGTATTCTTGCTAGCTTTTATTCGTTCGCTACTTGCTGAACTTATGCTTTGTTTTGCTTTGCGTTACTTCGTAATTGCTTACAGCTGTCTCGCTGTTGTCCGTTAAATTCTCTGGTTTACTTAACCATCATTGATTGACGGTTGGCCGCGTTTCATTGTTCCTACACACCAGTGTACAGTGTTGTCTACAATTTAGTCCAAGCTAATCATTTGGCCATGTTGGCCGTTTTGTTTCTGATACTTGTCCGTTTTGTTTATAATAGACGAAGAGCATTTGCGTAAAGGTGGCATTCTCTATGCTCCGTATAACCCGGATGCACCGCGGCCGGTCTTTAAGACCAAGCAGACGGCTCGCAAACGAGCACACTCCGGAGTGTTTCCAAGAATGGCTATTGCGGATAAGCAGGGTGAGCTGGCTGTATCTGAAGCCTATTTTTCTGGACTAAACCGCTTTCATCCTTTTTATCCACGTCTATATTTGTCGCGCTTTTTATTCCGTGACGGAGCTCTCATTAACCGTTTTGACTTATGTGCATTTACTCGGATGCTTCCTACGGCTATCGCTCTTGAATTACGAGGCCAATATCTCTATCTCAATCCTGTTTTTATTGGTCTGTTTAAAGAAATCGCCAATCGTCAGCAGCGTGATGCGGTGGCTCGTCAAGCGATAGTCGATGCCGGTGCTATGACGAATGCGGAACCGCAGCCATCCACTTCTGCTGGACCATATAATTTTCGCACTCGTGGGGAAAAGCGCAAGTACAAGGAGGTTTCGCCGTCCTCGTCCTCTGCGCCAAGTGAAGTTTCCGTTTCGGATGATGGTGAAGATCGTGAGGATCCTTCGGCTGTGTTATCCCCTGAGCAGAATGCTGATGTCGAAGCTGACGAGAATGCAGATATGGTGGTCGATTGTGATGATGATGATGGATCTGATTTTGAGAAAATGGATGTTGATCCGCTGCCGTCTCTGCAGCCAGTTTTCCCTGCTGTGCCACCTGTTGCCGCTGCTGCACGTGAGGATTCACCCGAAATTGCGGAACCAGCAGTTTTTGCTCAGCATCAGCCGCACTCGGATGAACTGTAATGTTATTGTTGTTCGCTATTGCTCTATCTTCGTTGTATTCCTTTAGTATCCTTGGTTTCTCCAATTCATGTCATGATGGTTCCTCTTATTTTATATTTGCAGCGGTATTTTGTAGTGTGGTATTATATTCTAGAGCACAACGAGAATTCTTGTCCTTCAATTTTATTTTCCAATTTTACGCGCTGGGCTGAGTCATTGAACTGGTCGTTTAATATTTTGCCGCTGTGCCGTGGCTATCCGTGTTAAATCTTTAATTGTACCTGGATAGATCTGATCTTTGATTACGTTGCATTAAAGGGATATAGCGCAAAGCGCTGATTGGCTGTTTTTCTTACCTGTATGGAATCTTCCGCACTTTAAAATTTCGCTCTAGCAGACGCGTATAAAATCACTTGCGAGTGGCGTGCAGAAATCGGCATTGTGGATTTTTTGTTTCGGCACCAGTGGTGTATTAGATTCCTTGCTTTTCTGAATGTGATTTTCACGCTTTTCTCTCTTTTTTTTTAGCGTTAAAAGGTCACTAGTTTTCAATAGTTGGGTATGCCGCCTATTGATCCTAACAGAGCTTTTGATAAGCTGGTTGACGCCATTTTTCATTCGTCTTCTAACCAGCAGCAACAGCAGTATAATGCCGGTTATAATCACCGAGGAAGGGGTGGAGCCCGTGGTTCTTACCGTGGCAACTTTCGTCCGTACGGCCGAGGAAATCATAGGAATTTTGGAGACAATAACTTGCGTCGTGGAAACGATCATTGGCGTCGTAATGGCCGACCTCTGGGCGCACCGGGAGTTATTGAAGTACCTGATGGAGTCGATCACCCAGTTGCTCCAGTGGAAGCTGCCGCCGCAAACATGGAGGTTGACGACCCGGGCAACCAAGCAGCGAATGCACCGAATCCGGTCCAAGGCAACGGAAATGTGGCTGCAGGTGAGCCCAATGGTGTCAACCCTGCTGTTAATCTACATGGCCCACCAGCCTTGAATGCCGTTGTCGTTCCTCCGGCTGTCATTCCACCTGTTCAGCAGCAGCAGAACGCCGAGTTTCCGGGTTTGCCACCAAACGTGTTGCCCCTCGCCGAAGTGCCGATTGTCCGCGATGCCCGCGACCGCTCCCCGGCTGATCGTCTTCGTGCGCCGTCTGCGCCTTCCGGTCCTGTTGGTTCTGCCGAGCATAATTTTGTACCTGGTTATTTGGCTCAGCAACAGCAGCGTGAATTGGATGCCGATCGCCGACGACAGATGGCTGCTGACGTTTCTCGCCGTTTGGATGCTGCTGCAGCGTCTGGCTCTGGTATCACTGGCCTGTTTTCATTGGCTCCCAGTGCTGGCAAGTAACCTTGAATAACCTTTGTCCTTGATCTTTTGCTTTCTTTGATCTCGCCGTTTTAACTGGCTTTGTGTTGTCTAATGATTTTGCTTTATCAAAGCCGTGTTGATCTTCTGTCATTCTTTTGCTGGTTTAAATTGGTCTTATCTACCAGTAATTTGTACTCATGATTCTTATGCGGATATTTTTGCTTGTTTGTTGTTGTTGACAGTTGTTACTGGATTATGTAGTACTCGAGAATTCGTAAGAATACTACTGGTTGTTGGTTGTTGCGGTCTCGTTCGTTTAATGTATAGTTCTATCCAATCGCACATAATTACATTTTAAGATTTTTAATTTCACAATTAATAAAGTTTTATGCCGTATACTGTACATACACACTACCATCCCAACTCAAACGGCACAGTATCAGTAGTTCATAGTTCGCCTTCCTGGATCCTTGGACCTCCGCCCTGCCAACCCGTGGACTTCCGGATGCCTCTTCGCCAAGGATTCCACACACTAACTCTCTGGGAATCGCGGCGTACAGTCACATTGGGCATCGGATGGACACGTGGATTGTGCGGTGGATCGGGATCAGGATGGACGGAAGTGCACAATCGCACTGGGATGTTGCGGGATGGATTGCTTACGTTGGCACGGCCAAGCATCGTTCGTGGGGGTGACGTATGGGAGTAGGATCATACGCCGGATGTACGTACGGATGCTGACTGTCCGCCTTCCACCTGCAACATAACGGATAATCTAGCCAATCTCTTCTGTGATTTGCTGTTCTCTTTTACTAGCGATGTATATGATGTCATAACGCGAAGTCTATATAAGTCCCTGTTACTTCTAATATCGGCATCAGTAGTCTGAGATTTGCTTCTGAGACTGCTTCCTAATTACAATTTCCTAGCGTTGTGAACTGTGATGTGAATTGGATAAAGAGACAGCAATACTTGTTCCTTCTGAAGTGCATAGTTGTTCCCGGATTATCGCTTAGAATACAGGTTTGCTCGTGACACAATCGTCCTAGCTCTTGCCGATCCTCACAGGACTTACGACCGGAAGTTGTGGTAGCTTGTTCCTGAGGGATTCCTGACTCGTGTTCCTGAATCGTTCGTCTTATTTCCACCATAGTTCTTCTGTTACAGTTTGAGAGTACGAGTGCCTACCGATTGAGCATTACAGGCGTGGAAGAGTAAAGATTGTTCATGGAGCCTTAAACGGCGTGAACGCTTATACACGACAATCGAAATTAAGCGCTACTCTTTGACGTTCGAGTTCATTCATGGGTTTTGCGAAAAGAAACGTAAACGCCCAAACGGCAAACAGTTGCTATAAATTAATAAATACAGTAAAAAACGCTACGTAAATTAAAAATCTTAAAGTTTTTATCTTTGAAAATTAGGATTTCAGAAAGAAACCTCGTGTTTTATTCTCCTGAAAGTCACTAGTTGAATTTTTCCTCGATCCAGTCGTAAATAAGTGTTGAATTTTCCGTGTGATCGGCCAAATTTGCAATCTTCCGTGCTCGATGTGCTCTGTCTGTTGGAGAATGGAGATATACCCATAGGAGAGCCATTAGAGGAGAAGTTGTATTTGACGCGTACTCTTCGTATTCCGTGGAATGAAAATAGACCAACGTGCGCAATGGAGGTAGAGAACTGGGATGTTATTGCTAATGTTACGGAGATAACTCCAGACACCAATGGATACGAGGCCAGCGAGCAGCTGAAGATCATTGTTGAAGTCCTTCTCCGTCAATCAAGGTGGGTTTCCACTTGCACCTGCTTTCATCAAGTTCTTGCTTACGTTGTGCAACTTGTGCTTGTGGCTTATAGTAATGCGTCGGAAAGTACTGTTGTGAACGTTCTTCGGAAGCGCATCAGAGACAAGCTGAACTATGCTCGGGGAACGAGCGTTGGTTCCATCAGTCTGCAGAATTTGCGACGCGAAATGATGGTCGGGATCAACACGGTCTGCAAGGATCATGTGGAAAGCATTTGTTTTGAAGATGCCGAAGGGAAGGATTCCACTGAAGTCAGTCATGATTTTGCAATGTGTGAAACTGTTACGGGTTCTCACTGCACGAATTAAATAATTGAATTAAAACTGCAGTCTGCGAAAACAATAAGCCCACCATAGAACCATCATTTAAAATTAGTGTGCATTTATGCCGTTTAGAATTTGACAAATGCAGCTGTTTTATTAGCAGAATGAAATTTCGACGGAGTCAAACCGAAGTGATTTTCATTGTTCATTAATTATTAAGTTAAATCGTAGCGAGCATAGAGTGTGCATTTTTACTTTGTTTGTTTAACGTTTTTGATATACGAAACTTGTTGTAGATCACAAACTACTCCGACTATCGCTGGTGCTTCTACGTGTACAAAATGCAAAACGAAGCCACTTTCGAGGATAGTATCGGAGAAGACGTTACCGCCACCGTCGAGCGAGTGTTACCAAGTCGCGAGTATTTTCAGTTGTGGGAAAGCCTCGTCTATGACAGTTGTGTTAAACGCGATCTGCTGAACTATGCCATGACTACGGTCCACTTTTCGGAGCTTAACATTGATAGCAATCTGATCACCTGGAACAAAGTCATTTTATTGCACGGTATGGGCCCGAGAGGATATGGATTGTTTTGTGCAGTTATAAACATTGCTTGTTTTTTCCGCCGACAGGACCGCCAGGCACCGGTAAAACATCACTGTGTCGTGCCTTAGCACAGAAACTGTCCATCCGCTTAACAGAACGTTACCATTCTCTACATTTCATCGAAATAAATAGCCATAGTTTGTTCAGTCGGTGGTTCTCCGAGGTAAGGTGCATCTCAAGACGTTCGAAATGCTCATACAGTGAAGCTTTCTGCTAAAACATTATTCAAGTAATTGCTTGCTGGTAGCTGTAATTTTTTGGTGGTAACGCGATTTGCATAGAACGTTACGTAGATGCTCGAATTATTTTCGGCCTGAGTTGTAGCATTCGTTTTTGATCCTGTGCAGGTATATTGTTTCTCGATGATAAATAACCGAACAAGCTATGCGAACGCTGGTTTAAGAAAAAGGTTGTTTAGAGTGGAAAACTTGTGATGAAGTTGTTCGAAAAGATTGAAACCGTTGTGCGAACCCCCGGCGTCTTTGTATGTCTTCTCATCGACGAAGTGGAAAGCCTGGCCCGCGCCCGACAGGCATCCCTGTCCGGCAATGAGCCTTCTGATGCCGTCCGGGCTGTTAATGCACTGCTGACGCAAATCGATAAAATTAAACAGTAAGAGATGTCCTTTACATTCTGGCATGTACTCGATAAAATTTGAATCGCATAAATTTGTCAGATACCCGAATATTTTGATTTTTACCACGTCCAACATATCGGAAGCCATTGACTTGGCCTTTGTTGATCGAGCGGATATAAAGCAGTACATCGGTAATCCGTCGGAGGACGCTATCATGGTTGTATGCATTAGCTGTTTAGAAGAGCTTATCAGAAAAGGGGTGCTGAATTCGGATCCGTCCATTTATTTCACTGAGAACGACAATGCTACACAGGATGCGCTCCGACGTGTGGCCAAGTAAGGGAACTTTAAACTGGCTTTGCATTTTTTCTATCTTTTGCTGCCTAATTACTGCGATTTCGTTGTTGCATTGACGATAGGGGTTTAAACCTTTTTTCAGAGCTTGCCAAGGATTAAGTGGGCGTAGCTTGCGCAAACTACCATTTCTCACCATTGCCGAGCATTTTTCAACGGTACAAATTTTCATTCGTTTTTTTACCACTAAATTCAAGGACTTTTTCGGCAGAAAATTGGCATCGGCGTCGCGGAGTTTTTGGATGCGCTGAACAAAACAGCCAAGAAATATCAGGCCGATTCGAAAGCATTGCGAAACGGGACATCGCACATTACCAGCAGCTGAACCGAAGCCTTACTTGGCACTGGAGGTGGAGGACTTGCGTGCATTAGCGATGTTGATTTGCTCACATTCGAAGCTCAGATGTCCCTTTGTTTTCTTCCTCATTTTTTCTGTGATTTGAAAGCCATCTTCGAGCTAGCATTCGAATCTGTTGATTGTTTTCACTCTAGTGGAAGACTTGAGCCGTTGTTTTTCTTTTTTCAGTACAATTGGTATATTTATAAAGGTTTCCCGTAGAGATATATAAAAAAATTGTTGAATTTTTAACTTAAGTTCGCCCTCTAACAAATATCCATAAATCTTTCTCAGCGATTTCTACAGTTAATGAGGCGTGCACCGTAATCATGATACCGCACTTCCGTTCATGCATGCTTAAAATGCAAGCCTAAATCCTATAAAAGATCCTAGCGACAGGCATCGGTATTCTAATAATTCAAAATTTAATATTGTCACTATTGTGCCATAATATTACAGTACCAGTGTTACTTGTATTTGTATCTGCATATTTTGCTATCATAAACAGTACAAACATGTACCCGAGTACAAGTATCTATATGTGTTTCACGCATGTTCATCGATTAGTACGCACAGCGCTACCGTATAAAGTACAGACTATAGAGAGCTCCTTTTGCGGTAACGTTCGATCCACGTCGCACGTGGACTCCTGATCCCCTTACCAGGTATTTACTCTGACAATCATGTTCTTAATAATTTTAAACAGCTCCTTGGATGGGTGAAACGGTCGCATCGCTTGTGGAGTTTGCGTAAACATTAAATTAGTGGAAAACCGAAAAAAACAATTTTGTGCCGTCGCATTCTATTAATCATTGTTCTCACTGGACCAAAAATCGAAAAGAATTCAACCGTACTAAAAAGGTTAAAACGGAAATGGAGACCTCGGGGTGCGTTTTTGCATAATTCAACTCGGATTATTCTGTTTCTACAAGTGCCCGTTGCAGGAAGCCTCCCACATCATGGGCTCAGCGCAAAGATACTGTGTTTATTAGTGTGCTCTTGGAAGATGTTAAGGATCTTAAGGTCAATATCGAGAAAGAGAATGTGTACTTCAGGTGAAGCAAAACGTTTTTTGTTTCCATACGTGCAAAATTGGGATTCTCCGACTCATTCTCGCATTCCGTTGTCAGCTAAGTACAGTACCTTACCCGTTTTCTTTTATTGTTAGTGGCAAATCCGGACCTGACATTAAACTGTACGAAATGAATTTTGACCTCTATTCGGAAGTCAATCCAGACGTATGTTTGTTCGTACTGAATTTTTCCACCGAAGCTCTTCATCTGTAAATTTACTGCATGCAGTAAAATTTATAGGAATCCAAATACTTTCTGAAGGACCGACAAGTCGACATAGTTCTGAGGAAGAACGATGCAGCAGCTCCTTTTTGGCCCCGATTGCTCAAAGGTACGTACAGATACATATATAAATATGGACTTACTTATAATTACTTATGATACATACAATCTACGGGTCACGAAAATCACAATGTAATACAGGTATGCATCTACACTTGTTACTTTATTCATTGCCGCAACGTGTCTTTACTGCTTACTGGCTGGGAGCTGCCGCATTAGTTCCATGCAATTTGAAATAATTTGCACTAGTTAGATTTTTTTCCATCTTGTTGCGTCCAGCTTATTGATCTTGTTGCGTCCAGCTTTTTGATGGGGCCAAATATAGTACTGGAAAAGCAATTGACTCTATACAGAATACATTCCAAAAAATCATAGAATTCGCCTGTGTCTGCTACCTTTAAACTCCGGTTAAAATGCCGGCTCGCATATGGCTTATTTCCCAGGCTCCATGAAACCCGGTTGGCTGAAGACAGATTTTAGTCGATGGCGAGATGAAGAAGACGAAGCTGGTGGCGACGACGATGATGAAAATGGTGCAGACTTTCAAAACGTAAGTGTATGTGGCCGAATACCACAAAGGAATATAAAATATATGACCCGCATAAGTACCTTCCGCTTTTCATGTCCAGTCATACCTGGGAAATGTACGTGGCCGTAATTCCATCGCTTGCATAAGATGCGCTAGTATGGCTGGTAAAAGCCAGCATACCGATTCCGTATAAGCCGTAACAGAAGCATTTTTCCGTCGTATTAAATAAACTTTGTAAGCGGTGAAGCGTGCGAAATACTGTATACATATAGTGCAAAAATTTGTGATTGCATTCTTATAAATCCAATGAAAATTGCTTGAATTGTCGTTTTCAGCTTTTACACAAAATGGGTGGGAATGCGCAACCAGACACCGGAGCTGGAGATGCAAGTACCGAAAACGCTCACGCCGTTGTGGATTCGGATGACGACATCGAAGAAGAAATGCCGAAGCTTGAAGGATAGCAGTCAAATTGTGTCTGACAATAGCTCTTGCACACGAAAGGCGGGCTTGCAGTTCTGGGCAAAGAAAATAAGTAATGCCTTCGTTTTTTCTGCACTTGGCACTCATTACAGTGGTCAAATAAGCCGCATTATGATCTTTTTTTGGTGTGGTTTGTGAGAAATTTTTCTTTTTCCTTTTTGTTTTTTTTTCATCTTCCAGTACGGTATAGTAGATCGACAGTTTTCGGATACAAGGAGAAAGACATCTGTCAAAGCGGAATGAGCATTATAATCATTTTTTAAAAGTAACTGCAAGTAATATTTCCAAACGACAAAGCCAAACAGCGCTGAGCAGGTCTCCTACGAAGGTTTAGGTGGTGTTTATGCAAACTTGATCTCAACAAATATTCCTAATTGTAAACGTCTTAAAAAGTCTGCAGGGAAGCTAAAAGTCCGCCGAAAACACGAACCTCAACAGCAGCAAGGATCGCTTCAGACCATCGCACCACGGAGGACGCTTGGTTTTTTGAACCGGCCCGAATTAAGGCTGGACCATATTACGGAAGTACGAGTAAATTGTACTCTATATAATACAACGGCCTAATTACACCTCTTTCAACGTACATATGCGATAATGTACAGATAGTTACGAGTATTTAGCCATACTTATAACGCGTGCATCAGTATTAATGTCACCACGGACGTTTGAATAAAAACCGATCCACCCTACATTTAACGATTTCAATAACGCCTTCCTTGATCGCCCACTTGAAATGAACCAAAATAACTGCCAAAAATGCGGCACGAGATGTCTGAGACCACCGAAGTTCTGCCTATAAAAATTGATCTTTGTACAAAAGGTCATCCGGTTTGCTCGCTTGTGCCAGTTCGGCCTTATCGCGTTTTCCTGATCCAACGCGCGGTCATTATATATTAGTTGCGGATTTCGTACTGGAATAATACTTGCATTCTCCTTTAGCTAATTTATGTTCGTTCTTCTTCATTACCGTTGAGTTAGAGCTGTAAATAGGAGATATTTGCAGGAAGCTGGGAGAAGCCGCTACATTTTTAGCGAGTCCTTTAATTAATTAAAGATGGATTATTTCTTCGTGGGCTTACTGATAAGCGCTGCATGTGTGACCTTCTCCACATTTAGTAACGCTTATACCGATCAATATGTGCGCTTGGAAGCCAAGATTATTCGTTTAGAAAATCCTCAAGGTCTAACGGCTACCGGCATGCCGTGCGGCGGGCCCCTGGCTCCCCGACAATGCAACACCGTGATTAATGCGAAAATCGATATGTAAGATTTCTCTTCTGTAAGAACATTTAGCTTGGCAATAGTTTGGGTTAACTGCAGATATATTTCCGAATTGTACACTGCATAGCGGCATAAATGCGTCAGCTTACAATGATTAGTTTTTAATTAGTTTTAGGTAACAAAATTAGGTTCATTGGTACACATTATTATGCTATACAGCTGTTCGACAATTAACTGAAAACAAAAAATCAGGAAATTGCTCCGCGTTCATGAATTATTTGGGGCTAAGTGATTTTCTTTTAAACATACTGAGATTCATTTAAAACCTTGAAAAAGCAGTTTTATTCATTACTGGGATAAATAAAGTTATACATCCTCGGCAGAAACGGTTTGAGCGATCCAAAGTATTCTGAATATCATTATCACAACGGTGAATCGGACAAAGAATATAAGCAGCTCGTCGCCAGACACGATGATAATGATCCACATATCGACCAGACAATATCCAAAGATATTTGTGGACTGCCCTTAGAAGTAAGAATGATCTGCTCGAATATAAACTTTTGTATTTTATGTTATCCAATATTTGCACTCAAGTTTTTTAAAAATTTCCGAGATCGATATGTCGGGGGTTTAAGAATTTTTAAATTGTAGGATAAAGCTGCCCGGTACCAGAATTTTATTTGATGTTGGTGTTGCAGAAAGCGCTTGTTCGAGTGCGGATCCACGAAGAAGGTCAGTAAAACTGTTGAGTGTGAATATATCCCCCCTTCACGATTTTGTTAAGCTGGTAGCTTCATAACGTGCTTAAGGTTTATTTGACACGCACACTCAAGTCTAGCTTCATAACTAAATTTATTTTCGGCATGTCCTCCCAAATGTTTCCAAAGTTTTGACGTAGTATTACATGTTCAAGGTATTTTAACGGATCATCCATTGTTAATTATGACACTCACTACTATGCGGTATCCCATATGGCATCGACAATATAACAAAAAGCTAATCCGGTATTTTGACTTTTTTGTCAACAAGCAATATTTTTCAGATGCAAGAAGAGGACACAAACGAATCAACGACTTTGTTTGTGAAACGTTCCTCCATCTATTACCAATCCATTCAGTATGGTCACCCCTTCAGGTAACCGAAACAGATTGATTAAATTGTACCCAATACTCATGATCAGACATTACAAAGCCAAGCGACTTTGCAAATAGCGTTTTCATTTTGATATCCATGTAGATGACCTGTCTAACATTGCAGCTTTGTGAACCTGAATTCCAAAAGAAGAAAATGAGGTACGAATAAATTGAAGTCGGCATGTCATTTTATCGTTTGCGGTGTGTTTATGAATTCAGACTTATCCCATTGCCTTTCATATAGGTTATACTTCCGGTATCGTGTTACACGATTAGATCACGATCAATGCCAAAAAGAGTATTGATGCCAGAAAATACGTTCTCAAAAACCGCAATGCAATTCTCAGATATATTATAATCCCGGCTTTCTGTTTTAGTCGCTTATATGTCGCGGGAAACCATCGAAACACGTGTTCTGTGATATATTCGTAATTGTATCTGTTAAAACCACTGCCTGCCTTAATTTTATTGTGTTCATATGTGCCCAAATACATAGACGTGCTAGAGCGTCGCTTGTATTTATTATGTAATGCGCATCCAACTTACTGCATTAAAATTTATTGCATTATTCCACGATCCGATCGAAGGTGCACGTTTTGATCCGAAGCAGATTCTTAATTTTGATATACTCAACAGGTATCTACATTGTTAATAAGCCAGACAAATGTAAAACAACTTATTGCACTTCATAAGACCAACACTTTTCGAAAGCGTCTTAGTCATCAACTTTTAACAGCTTATAATACATTGGTTTCATAAATTAAACCAGTTTATAATAATCTTATACAATATATTGATGGAAACGTCGTTCTTTTTCGTGATGACCTTTAGGTTTATAATGCATTTCTCTCTCGAAAGCCACTATTTGTAGTCCAGATTTAAAGCCTTACGAAACAAAAATGTGACCTCCATCATTTGTACGGTGGTCCATGCTGTCAATGACCGTAAACCGGGCGAATGCGCCCACGCAATGCTGCCAAAAAATACTTCGGGGACTGCCGTTTCGGCTGCGGTATTTCTTGTTGAATATTTAATAAAATGAGTGCTGACTGGAACACGACTCATGAACGGCAGTAACCTGTCCATAAATGTATTGTGAAACAGTATAAAATGGAAAAATATTTGTGACGGGACCAGAAAAATTGTGCATGCTAGGCCGATCGCTATTTCCTGGATTACGAGTTTACTTGTACGTGGCCCGGGAACCGTACATCGCGATGTTTGTTGCCATTAGCTTTTGCCTACAAGGTCAAACTTGTGAGTACCTGTTAAACTTAGGAAATTACATATGAAGATTAACTGTCTCGCACCTGATACCGGGCGAGTATTCCTTTGCGGATTATATATTGACGAAGTTATTAATTATGAAATCCTTGCGGTATGGGAAATTTAATCAAAATTTTTTGTAGAAAAGACCCGGCTTCCGATTAGCAGTATAGTTGAGCCAGAGCTGATGCGTACTAGACATCGCGTTCAACTGATTGGCGTATAAGCTATCCCGTACTTAGGCTTCTTTTAAGCCATTTACAGCGGAAGAACGGGATGTCTTGGGATGAATGTTAGCTTATACGCTCGCCCACCCAATGTAATCCGTCTTTTTCATTAAGTCCGTACGCTAGTTAGAGCATCTCTGACGACAGCTAAAGAGGAATTCAAGTAATGCCGTACAGATACGTAATACGAAAACATTTCTCTGAGAGAGCTTAATAAAACAGGCTGAAACGATCAAGATGGCTTCTCGGCAAAGGTGCGTGCATTTCTGTTTGAACCTATGCAGATACCTGTTAAATACCAAATGTAATAACTCATATTGTAAGCATTACATTAGAAATGCACAGAATTTTGATGCACTTGCTGCAACTTGTTAGCTGCTAAAATTAATATGTATACATATCTATATATGTAGTATTGATGCAACCGGACGTTCGGATCGCTGGATCTCAATTGCACGGTAATGGCATTAATTAATGATACTCGTAATCCGATCATGAACTTGCGTTCGCCATTCGTGGATTCTGGACGAATGCTCTGATCAGAAGGCTGACAAAATCTGGGTTCTACTGGATGGACGCTAGTTAGATTGCGACGCGTATAGCGATGGTAAACCACTTTATTGCTGAGTGCTTTGGTCCAGCCTAAAACGATTTTTATTTACAATGACAGCATGGAATTACAGTTCGAGCGGTGGAACTGCTGGTGTGCCAGAAATTTGGCGAAGATGCATGGGAAAGAATGAAGTAAGTTGTAATAAAAAAATCAACTACGAGTAGCTAGAATTAGCGCTCACACACTGCGCTCTTGTAGTTTCGCTCTGCATACGAAAAAAAGATATATTTGTATGTATGTAGGTGTCATCAACAACAAACTTATTTGACTATGAATGCGATAAGTTTAAAATTTGTGCGTTTTCTGTTTTCCCCAGTTGACGTGTTTTACCTTCATTTAAAAGATTGTATCTAGAGTGTCTGTGGCGAATAACTAATTATAGTATTAGTATGAAAATCGCGCATTGATGTTAACTACGAGTAGCATGCTTTAGCAAGTGACCATCTATGTATTCTTTAGTACGTATGTCGTATACGTATATCGTATTTTACAGAGTGGCAGCGGGACTAAAAATTTCCGGAAATTTTCTTGTGACCGAATATTATTCGGACATCGTTACGTACAGGTACAGCGCGATCATTATCAGTTGTAAACTTCTACAAATATTATAATTATAGCATGATAAATATACCTTTGCGTGTTATGGTAGATTATGTACGCATGATCACTAAAAGAATAGGGCGCACGAACACGCAAGTACTGTATTGTACAGAATGTATTCTTGTGTTATGCATCTTCAGCCAGTGCATCGAATTGTTCAGCATTATGGTAATTATGAAATGATTTCAGACTAGTGGATGCTGCAGAGGAGATTTTAGGTAAGAAAGTTTTAAGTCAAAGCTCAGCCCTGTTAAGAAAAACTAGTGAAAAGCATGGTTTATAATGACATTTCACTTTTAGTATATTTCAGTATAACAACATGTATAAAATGTTTGCAATATCGTTTATTCTGTATTATTATATATATGTAGCTATATTAAAGCTTTGGATACCTTCACAACGTTAAATACGTAACTTTCAGTAAGAGTTAGAAACACACCTATCGATTTACATATTATTAAAGTAAGTACACATGATCTACTGTATAATTAAAATCTGCCCTTGTATAGGCGTTTCATCCGAGCAGTTTTGGGAAGTTCTGGGGGAATATTTCTTCGACTACGTTGTCGAATATGGCTACAGCCGCTTATTGTCCGTCCTTGGCGGTAAGTTCAAGCAAGTGCGCTGCGCGTACTGACGCACAACATTTTCTTCCGTTTTCCTTTCCGGAGAGAATTGTTATTTCCGACTGATCTGCATATGTGATGGTTCTGTGGTTAGAAACGCCAGTGGAATTTTTGGAAAATCTCGATACGCTCCATTGTGCCTTAGGAAGGGTTTATCCCATCCGACCACCGTAAGATCCACTTGAAATTTTCTATGATAGAATGTTAATCAAGCAAATTTTTAAACAATTTTTTTTTTAATTTTTTTAATTTTTTTAATTATTTTTTAAAATTAATGGTAACCTTAAGCATCATACTCGCGGGCGATCTAATAATTTGTAAGACACATGTTTTAAATAAAAATTACCAGTGTCAGCACTGCTATACGATACATAGACATAATTTTGCCGTTTGGGTAGATTATTTCGGTGTGAGACCCGCAAAAATGGCATGTATCTGCTGCATTATTACTCCAAACGCCGCAACATGGAATATTACATGATGGGCCTGTTACGCCGCACCCTGGACGTCCTTTACAAGACAAAGATCGAGCTGGTCCTCTTGGAGAAGAATGAGCATGAAGATCACTGCACGTTTTCCATTTCCTTTAGTAAGACCGGAAGTCCCAATCCCGGGAGCATCCAGGAGGCTGTCAGTGCACCGCTGCAGCCACCTGACAGTCTTATGCCGTCAGCCCGTATTTCTCCTTCCACTTTCGCCGCACTCTGTCCATTCTACCTCATCTTCACCCGTGATCTGGTCATCAAGGAATGCGGCCGCTCCATCCTGCTGGCACTTCCGGCTCTCGTGGATGCCGCCCATCGGCTGGATCAGACAGCGCGCTTAGTGCGCCCCTGGCTGCCGCTGACGTTCAACAACATTGTTGAGCATCAGAATTCCGTGTTTTTGTTGGATTTCGACTGTCAGACGGCGGGCGGCGTCAAAGAGCGATCACTTAAGCTGAACGGGCAAATGCTGTATCTGCCGGCTAATGACACCATGCTCTTTATATCGTCACCCTATATTACGTCATTGGAGGATCTTAGCGCCAAGGGCTATTCACTAAGCGATGTACCGTTGCACGATGCCAAAAGGGAATTTATTTTGGCGTCGGAAAACTTTGCCCTTGAACATAAAATTATTTCCCAGCTTGAGGATTTGACACAGCGACTGCAGCAGACAACAAAACAAGTGCAGGACGAGAAAAAGAAAACCGATAAGTAAGGAACGCAAGGCCGTAATTAGCTAAATTCTTATGATTTTGAAAAATAAAATTAATTTTTATATCGTCGCAGCAAAACAATTCACCATTGGCAGTACTGCATACTCCCACTGCATAACATAATCCAATCACATAATTGCTATATTAAATATAGCAATAAAACTAATTATTTTGAAAATTAGCATTAATGAAATGCACATGATTAGCCGATTCAAAAATCTTTAAGCACTGTACAATTCCTGGGTACAGAAATCTACGTAGAATACAGTACTAACTATTACAACATCATAAGTCTTTCTCAACCTTACACCACTGTACTGACTGCAGGCTGCAGTAAGCATATGGGCGCGTAAAAATGGTACTAGCAATACTTAATAGTTAATGACACTTAATGTCACCAAATAATTATCCGGGTCACCAAATAATTCAACCTTGCTAAGATCTTCATTCCTGTTGCTTCAGTTTATAGCTATAAACTGAAGCAACAGGAATGAAGATCTTAGCAAGGACTGAAGTGCTCTATAGAGCACTTAATTAAGTGCTCTATAGAGCACTTCAGTCCTGTTGGTTATCTGCAGGTTAATTTATGCAATTCTACCACCGGCTGTAGCGCAGAGTTTGCGCAGCGGATCGTCTGTGAATTCCCAAAGGTATGATTCCGTTACAATCCTCTTCAGCGGCGTTGTGGATTTCGATAAATTTTGCTTATCGAAAACTGGCCAAACGGGAGCCATGGAAGTCGTACGATTGTTAAACCAACTCTACACGGAATTTGATGCGCTGCTAGACACGAAAAATAATCCAAACTTGTATAAGGTTAGTCGCAGAGACAAATGCAAATAGATCCTATCATCCATCATGATCCATGCAGTTATCGAGTTACACTCATAATCATTTTCGTATGCCAAACTGGGTTACTCGTACATTATAGGCGGTATTTAAAACGTGCCCTTTAATAGTGTGTATATAAAAGGCAAATCGGTCTAAAACGTTTGTGGCAGGTGGAGACTGTCATGGATAAATATATGGTGGTCAGTGGTGCACCAAACGTACTTCCGCCAAGTGCTCATGCGGAAGAGATTGTCCTTTTGGCCATGAAAATGCGACGATGTTTGCGGGGTTTGACTATTGATTCGAAAGGAACAACCGTCCGTGTATGTAGACAAACAGTAAAAGTACATAATTATGATAGCCGTTATTCATTTAACATATTAATCACCTATCTAATGTTTCAAGTCTATGCAAAGCAGTTATAAAAACCATAATTTCACTGCCAAAATGTTCTACATAATCTAGGAGCCTTAACGGAAGTCTAGTGCAGGTGGCATAATAAGCAGAGTGGTGTTGCAGGTTACGATTGGTATACATTCTGGGGAAATTGTAACAGGTAAATACTCAGTACATGCAAGTGATGCAATAAATGTTGGTAAATTTGGTAAATATGGTAAATAAATAAATCTGGGAAATATGGTTTTCGGAAACATTACTCGTACGGTAGATAAAAATACACATAACTTTGATGCAATATTTTTTGACTCAGGTGTTATTGGAAATCGGATGCCAAGATACTGTCTCTTCGGTACAATTTTATGGGATAGTTGAGCCCACCTAAATGAATCAGTTTTTCGCTATTTTGTGTTAGGATTGTTGTTTTTACAGGAGACACCGTTAACATGGCTAGTCGCTTTCAAACTACCGGGAAAGAAGGCATGATCAATATTTCTCAAGAGACTGTGAAGTGCGTACGTGTCGAATTTGCAGTGTGCTTCCGTAAAACAGCGTTTTGAAAACTACAGATATACTAAACTATATTGCTCATGTAATGCAAATAGGTCAGGAATGGTAAATACATAAACAAAATACCGGTTATTGGCGGTTAACAACTCTTTTCATTGTAACCTGATTCCAAGTTAATTATGTTCATGTGGCAGCAAATTGGCATTTACTAAAAAATATTGAAACTGCATAGAGGATTATTGTTGTGTACATGCAGCTTAATGCAGAAAGACATTTTAAATCGCTTACATCTTCTGGGTAGATGTCTGGACGATGGTTCTGGCCGTTTGGGATACGCTCGATTAGAAGCTGCTGGCAAAGTTTACTTAAAAGGAAAGAAGGAGCCCGTAAAACTATGGATCCTCCATGAAAGTCTGACTTCCGCTGCAGTGGATCGTATAAGAAAAAGATCAATGTTCTGCGAACTGTTGTGAAGTCGTTATGACGTACCTACGATGTGTATGGCTTCGCATTGCTAGTCTCGCTTACTTTCAATTTATTCGCGTCCAAGAGATGCAGAAATCTAGATTTGTGTATCTAGAACATTGCGCTGAATTTTTTGGACAAAAGATGTATTTTTCCATAAACTCCTACCAAACTCATGTCAACTTGTTTCTTGTTTAGCCCCAAAAAAGTTTTAAAACTTAAGCTTATGTTACAAATTAACACACACATAGCCACATAGCCGATTGATAGGTCACTGAGTCACTCTATGCATCAGTAATAAATGCGTGTAGTCAACAGCTTCCTGCAACTATAAGAATCTTATGTATAAGTACTAATTTTTGTACTCGAAGCATCGCATACTTGTTTAAAATAATTTAAACTGTGAGAGGGGCTAATCATTTTTATAGTACAGTAAGCTAGAACAAGCTGAACAAGTAACGGAATAACGGAATTCGGACAGAAAATACGTCAGGAAACCGGCGAAAAACGAGCCACGGAATATCTTCGCCAACGGATCAGTATCGAAATACAGCGAGGAAATGCGGCATCGATCATGGGGACGGCGCCGATGGGAGCGAATTTAGACCAAATTTTCTCTGTGATTAGGCCGCCGCTGCCGATTGATGCTTAATGAGTGATAGTTTCCGAAGCTTTTGTTAAAAGTACTCGTGTTGTAATTTGTAATAGTGAAACATGCAGAATTATAAAGCTGAACAGCGGTAACAATTATTTTTAGTTAAATAAAATTTTTGTGGTTGGGAACGGCAGAGTACAGATTTGCTTTTGGTTTCTCAGCCATGGACCCTAGAAAAATATAACTCGCCTCGTGGTCAGCTAGAGTAAACAAAAACTTGTACATGTATACAAGATTACAAGTAGTAAGGACTTCGCAAATTTGAGTTATAGTACCGGTACTATGATGCCTCTTTATGTGTCATAATTTTACCGCTCACGCGGCTCGAGAATCCTTAGTAGACAAATTCCAGAATACTTATTGTTAGTTAGATCAACAACCGCTTTGCTATAAAAACGTTTTGATACTTAATATGTTAATGTGATATATTGGCATGGCAAAGTTTAAAATCGATACAGTTGTACCGCTCGTGAATGTGATTTAATTGATTTATAATTTACAATCATTAGCTTATCAGTCAATCCGACGAAATCGTTATCACTTTTAAGCTGCACTGATTCCAGTTATAACATATTTAATTACGAACCACGATCAAACATTATGAAGTGATTGCGATTAGACTGTTGGGTATGCCGGTTAGCCAAGAAAAGCTGTGTATCCGTTTTATCGTGGAGCCAAATGGAAAAGTTTGAAATGACGGTATACAATGCAGAGTAAGTGTTTACACGCAGCTGTTGATATATTTTTTTGCGAAAACGTGCTCTGCTACATGTACATTTTGTTTGCGCTGCGTTAACAATCCTGTTATTTCACCATGAATGTGGAGCGTGCGGAAGAATGTAAATGTTTTTTAAGGAAACGTCCCTCTATTGCGTACGAATATGCGGAGAAAACTTGGAGAAGTCGGCTAGCCGATAAACTGCGCATAAACAATCCATTGTTGCGGGGATCCGTAGCAGAATTCTTTTCCACTTTTATATTGATGGTGAGCGATTCCGCTGTTATGCTTTATTGAATACCGTACGCGCAATTACATTCTGCAGCGATTTCTTGTGCTATTGTTTTTGGAACTTCTTAAAAAAATTAACAATTTTACCACTTCATCCACGAAATAATGACTTAGGTTTCGTCCACCTACATTAGCCCAGAAATTGTCCAGCTATATAACATGGAGCTCTAGAGTAGTAAATCTGATTTGCAGATTTTTGTTCAAGGCACAGTAGCCTCGCAAATATTCTCCGGCCAGCAACGCGATGTTTTGCTTATATCCATCGGTCAAGGAATGTCCGTAGCATTAGCGGTGTTTGTTTCCGGTGGTGTTTCCGGCGCTATGCTGAACCCCGCGGTCAACTTTGCTTTTCTTGTGGTTGGCAAAGTAACATGGCCGGTGGCCATTTTTTACTCCATTGCCGAATATATGGGAGCATTTGTCGCATCGATGGTCATATATGCCGTCAATGTCGGTAAGAGTACTTGGACCCTTTTATTGTTATACCATGCAACCGGCTACGGGCATACGCAGATAGTCCAAAATAATTGCTTAGCACAATATTTAATGCCGTCCTTTTACTTGCATACGTGCGACCTTTCGTTTTTGCATGAATCGTGTTCGGATGACATGTTACCATATTTCAGAGAATTTCGACAAATACGACGGGGGTTTACGTTACACATACGGTCCAAACGCAACAGCAGGCGTTTTCTCAACTTTCCCCGGTGAGCAGCGTTCAGTCGGGGGAGCATTTTTTCACGAAGCGTTCTGCACTGTTACGCTCCTCGTTGGCGTCTTGGCTATTGTGGACGAGCGCAACTGGAAGCCGGAAAAGGGACTTATCCCTTTTGCCATTGGAGGGCTGATATGCTTAATAAACTTGGCATTCTCATACGGTGAAGGAATGGCTATGAATCCAGCTCGCGATTTAGCACCTCGGCTATTCACATTGGTCACACACGGAACTGAACCATTCAGGTGCGAACTAAAGTAAAAGTATCAGATGAAATGTTTACGAAAAACGCGATACGACTAGACTAGTCGGACTAGTCCTTATTTACTAACAATATTAATTCCCATACCTGGATTTACTTAATTTACCATGTTTGACGTATGCTGCCCAATCGCTATATCGGCTTAATAACACTGCGTGGCACGTGCGGCACCAAACTTTTTTGTTAACCGTAACTCTCTCTTAGTACGCGAAGATAAATATTGTCACAGCAAATCAGTGACAAATTGTGACCTTTTAGTTTCTGGGAATACAACTACTTTTGGATCCCCGTTGTTGGGTCACATCTTGGAGCCGTTGTAGGTGCCCTGCTGTACGTCATATTCATCGAAATCCATCATCCGCCACAAGAATACGTAAAAAAGTAATTCATCAAGGAACCACAAAGGGCACAAACTACAAAACCTGCATTCTGTCTTCTCAGTTTGTGCTTGTATTGTACTGTTTCATATCGAGTATTGCTATTACCAAAAATACTGATTCTCGCACATGTTTGCTTAGTTTTTGCCATTAAAAGCTTATACTATGTATTACTTTCTTCGTTCACTATGACCGCGGCGTCATCAGTGGATTGTCGGCAAAAGGCGGAATACAATACGAGATAAATAACAACACAGCATAAATCAAATCAGTATCTTGACAGATTTATCATTTTCGATAATTCTTGTCCGTAGATCCCGTGTCCTACACAGAGAAACTGAATGCAAACAAGAATTTTCCATTCTTACAAAAATGGTTGACAAGCGATAGAAGTGAGAAGAAATCACCATTACTGATATCACATTACGGAACTTTCTTTTGCAACAGCGCTACGTAAAGGGCAGCCACAACGACAGCTTTGAATAAGCACTAGCTATGAGCATATTCGAAGGAGCAAACTGGACCCGGACAACTGGTTCTTTCTGCTTGTGTTGCAGTATTCCCACTGAACGTCCTGTTCTCAGGCTCCAAATATGAATTTTTCCGTCACTCGATCCTATTATAACGTATTTGCTGTCCGGCGTGAAAGATGCTTCCAAATTTAAGCCGCGATTTGTATGACCCTTAACAAGTAAAAACCAAATAATGCGAAGCAAACACTAGCGTTACGTATCTGCGCATTTAATTACCGATAAGTAAGCAAAACGCTAGTAACGCTACTAACGCTACGCTAGCATGACACGTTGACAACGTTTATTTGAAAACCATTAAATAATATTCATATTTCTACATACGAGCATCAATCTGCAAAACATACAAAAATTACGATATTGGTAATGCACAAGGAAGCGATGAGTAATTAAGAAGGAAATGGCTACTGCCACCCCTCTACATCCCCTTTTGACTGTCACTCCCTTTTCATCCCCTTCGGCTATTGTCGCTCGATTTTTAAAAATTGAGGCCAACACCCCTTTTGGCTACTGCGATGGGATCGAAATTTTGTTTCCGCGCGTGCAGAAAGAGAAAGATTGTCCCAGTTGCAGTCCTCTCAAAAGGGTCGCAAAAGCACTGGAAACAAAATAATTAAAAAAACATCCTAAAGATGTTAAATTTAATACTAAAAAACGAGGTCCAATGTAAGCTCTGCCTGGCATCTTTCGGCTTTTTCTCCCGATGGTGGCCGTCTAGCCGGAACCGAATGGAAAAAGAGCCGCTGATGGCACAATTAAGAGCAAGGTGGTGGCAACAGCCAAAAGGTGGTGTGGAAGGGAATGACGATAGTCAAAGGGGGTGTGCGTTTTAATTTTACAAAAGCGAGTGGCAACAGCCGAAGAGAGACGACAGTCAAAAGGAGTTGTAGGGGGTGACAACAGTCACACCCAATTAAGAATCGAATATACAACTACACTTTTCGAATCCCAGTCTTTATCAATACTGAGGTGATGACAGATGGGTACTACAGAGGGTCTGACCGTCTACTGCCAGCACTACGCAATAAATACCTTGAGAATAAGCAGACAAACTCCCGTGAACGAATCCATAACGTACACATTGAGACCGTTTGTGCAAATTAACATGTAGCGTCCGTTGGGACTGATCTTCATTATGCTCCAATCACAGTCTCTGTCCTCCGGGTATCGGAATATATTGAAAGGTCCCTGTAAACACATATTCAACACCAGCATTTTCCAGCGAAAGCCGCTAATTACTTACTTCGTGATAGTTGCGCATATCGTACAGCATCACACGCTGCTCATGCTCCACAGAGGCTCCGGCAGCAAAGACCAGACCTTCTGGATCAAATGCTACAATGGGAGAAGCACTGAGATTCTGCAATACACCGGCGCAGCCCACACGGTGATCCCAGATCCGAATGGTGCGATCCATGCTGGATGATATAAATTTGTCATCGACAGGCGACAATGCCAACTGAACAACCCTATTTAAGAAAAAATTTGGCTACCACCGTCGACCAAAAACAACAACAAGAATTTAGCTTCCAAAATATTAAATTTCGTCTGCACGAGCACACTGACGCAAAGCTGCAGACATTAATCAAATATACGACTATTTAGTAGCGGTGTCTTCTGGGTAATAATTGTGCAATCAGCGCAATTCGGTAACTCCAGCTTATGGAGACAATTAATTTCATAGATTACATAAATTTATCGAGACTAGGATTACAGTTTTACTTGTATGAAAAACTTGCGGTTCTTTGTTGACTGCATTTGCTAAAGCAGCAAAATCCTCATCATAAATTCCGGGCAATACTATAACTTACTTGTTTGTGTGCCCTGTAAACGCTGTAATATATTTATTTTCTGGCAAGTTCAGGTAACGAATACTGTCTGCAGAATAAAAGAGGTTGGTCATTTAAAAATGGCTCAAAACAAAGCGCCCATGATCCATCACAAACATTAAAATCTGTTATTGTACGGCATGGCAACAATAATCGCTACTTACGGTCCACTTTGGTGCAGGAATGCAGCGCGGCCGACGGAGAATGGGAATACATAATGTTATCCGCCCCATACTTTTTACTGTTAATTATCCTTTGAACACTATAATAGCAAACCACTCGAGTAATGAAATCAGCAATACATCTACTCGCTATCACGAATACTCGCAAAAACAAGACAATCGTCAGTCACAAAAATCACAGCTACTCACCTTCCTTTCCCGCAGTCGTACTGCACAATAACATCATCATCAGCGGATGTAAGAAGATGCTCTCCCGAAGGGGAGAAATCCAAATGGTTAACCGGGCGGGAATTTTCGGAAAATGTGCGTGACACACGAAAGGTTCGGAGGGTCGGTTCGTCGATAGCATATTCTTTAGCTGCATCTGGCGGGGGTGCAGTACTGGGTACCGTCGGCGCTAACGGCGCAGATTGTGCAGTTGGGGGATATCCGCTCGAAGACGCATTAGCTGGAAACGGAGGGCGAGGATTATAGTAAGGAGTTCCCGAGGAAGATGCTCCGGGATACTGAGGTGTCGAGGGGAAGGGAGCTCGCCAGGACATATTGGCGTGAAACACGAAAAGTTAAATCGTAGTGTCCGAAAATGCAGTACCAGCTGTCACATCCCAACCGAAGCATACATTTCAACTAACAGTACACTGTCAGCGACAAATTTCACCAATTTTTGGACAAGAATGAAAAGACAGACACTACAAAGTAACAAAGTTCAACAAAAATAAATGAATGCAAAGTTACCATGTAAATTTTTGAAAACACTTCATAACATGATAACAGTAAGCCCAGAGTCATCTTCAAATCTGCTGAGATAGCTGCCGTTTGGTAGCGGGTGTGATTGCTACCAGCCTACACTGGTAACAAGCTGACTTTAGAAATCGTATGTACGACAGTCAGTTTTCTTTCTTAAAAGTTAAGGTGTCCTCTTTTTGATGTCATCCTTTTTATTTTTTCGGTGGTGAACCGTAGTCGTTATTCACCACTCGTTATTATACATTTTAAATCAAATTCCAAAGGATTTTGTGTTTTGTTTCTGAAATCCGACGGGCTACCCTTTGCACTTCAGTCAGTTTAGTGTTGAACAGTTTTTGGTCAGCAACTTACAACTATAACAAGTGCTTCGTACGTAGTTCGTACACTTCGTTTTCTGTTGGCGTTTGGTTTGATTCCTTTCTCTGGTGCCATGGCTGGACGAATGGTGGATTCTACGCGAATTTCGGAAATGAATGTCGATATGCCACCCGCGTACTCGAGCAGCGTTGAGGGGGAGATGAATTTGGCTCCATCCACAGTGAAGTCACAGTGGGAAGACTTGAACACGTTGGATGAACCCATCCGAACCACTATAGTAATCCGAACCCTAGCGTATTTCTTTCCCTTGATTATTTGATGAATTCTCCTCTACATTTTCAGTTTCGCGATCTCAAAGCCATTGCCCAGAAATTTTTCCATGTATTGATTCCACGGAAGAGCAAAGCTTTGCTGCGAGATTGTAAGACACCTTATCTGTTTCACATGAAATTTTATTGTTGCATTTTTCTTGTATGGCCTTCGAATTCCTGATTCTAAACGCAGGCTCTCACGAGTCACGTAAAAAGCTGAATGACGACGCAATTTTTTTTGTAGGGGATTTATGGGGACCTTTGATGCTGACGACTTTCATTGCGATGTGAGTAGTAGAGGATGAAATTCTCCGACTGCACTGTGCATAGACTTACATATTATTCTTTTACATTTTTATGGTTGCCCATTTCAGCATTTTTAAAGTTGCTTATAACAGGCATATCATTATTCATTGTGTTGTTCACGAAAGTTCTGTTAATTCCAAATGTTTTTTTTACTTATTTGAATGACTTCAGTTCATCTTCAATCGTCTCTACGTCTGCGTATGCTTTAATAATCTAACTTTCGGCATATTTTGTCGTGAATTAACAAATACCTTGTTGTCCTGTAAAGTTTGTGCGTTGCTAGAAATGTACTACAAACCCTGAAATATTATTGTGTGATTTCAGAATGCTGCAAGGCAAAGAAGTGGACGATAAACACACTACTGGTCCCGAGTTCGCGCAAGTTTTCCTCATCGTAACATGTGGTGCGGTGATCGTGACATTAAACTCCAAATTGCTTGGTGGAAGCATGTAAGTTCTTTTATCGTTGGTGTCTCATCAATTTTACTGGCTTTTTTCTTTATCTGTAATTAGTGCTGGTGCTATCTGTTGTGAAGGATGACAGAATGAAGCTTGTGGTTTTTACTTTGCTTGCCGCGAATGCTTTTTTGGCACTTGCTTTGGCGGCGAATAATAACTACCTATTTGTCTTAAAAAGCATGATGTAGCTGTTTGTTCATTAACATATAGTATTTATCTGCACCGGCTACATCTTTATTTACGTTTCATTTCAGATCGTTTTTCCAAAGCGTCTGCATTCTGGGATATTGTTTACTGCCACCAGCTATGGCGCTGATTACTTGCAGGATATTAGCTGTATCTCTGCAGCATCACGATACGGTTTTGTTTTTGCTCAGAATCATTTTCACTACAGTGGGATTCCTGTGGGCTACTTTAGGTATGCAATAACTATTACGTAGCCAAAAAGTTTCAGTTAACTGGATAGATTGCAAGAGAACGGAAATTTGTTTGTTTAGTCAGATTGGTTAAATAAAACTGGTTACAGCATGTGTTAATTTTTTGCGTACTCGTTCGAATTTTCGGATACTGGAAATTTCATTGTAAATGATTTCGTAAAAAAGGCCAGTATTTGATCTGGTGTCAAGTAAAATGAGTGGTGTTCTATATTGCCGAGAGGCAGATTTCAAAAGTACCATTTTTGCAGCCTTTTAATTTTTTATCCTAAAGTAGAAATCAACACGAAATCCATTATGTCTTTCTGAAACCATACAATAATGGCCCACTATCAAGGTATTGAATTTCCAAAATGCTTTTCAATTGTATCAAGTGGCTATGCTTTTCTTGAGTATTTCCGTGGCAGTTGTATTGAAAAGTCAGTTTGATGAGGTAAATTTGTGTGACCTACTTTTTTCTAACGGGTACTGTTCCCTTTTCTCCCCAACAGCATCACTGGCCTTCTTGGGCGATACACAACTTCCCAACAGGAAAGCCTTAGCCGTGTATCCCATTTTCCTGTTTTACCTAGTTATCAGTTGGTTAATCGTCTCGCAGACCGGGTGAAGGATGCAGCAGTACATAACGCGCTACACGTGAGAAATTCCCCTTTGACCGACATATGGATGTTCATCGAATGCGGGAGGGACGTGTATGTCAAATTTTAATGTGTGATGATCAAAATGATGATCTGCCGAATGAGGCTGCGTAAGAACTACTTGATGGCATGCTTAAATTATTTGCTAACACTGACTGTACTTGTGTTGCGGAAGAGATTTTAGATGGATTGTGTCCATTTTGCGGTCAATAAATTCTTTATGCAGACGTAATTGCATTTTTATAATGGACAGCACTGAAGGGGCGTCTATCAACAAAAATACACAGACCCACACTGTAAGAAGTGTGCAGTGTCCTTTTATATGGCGGTTTTGTCCGCTTTTGATGCGGTTTTACACTTCGGTGACGCAAGTTCGCAAATGTAGAAAGCTGTAAAATTAAATTAGGGACCCACTGTTCGTTTGGGTTTAATTTTTCTGCTTACGTTATGGAAACCTACGGATGTAAGAGTGCTGCCCACTACCGAGATATGTCGTGCTGTGATGTTTCCGACATGAGAAACCGATGCCGACAACCGTGGCAATTTTTGTGGAATGATCGGCAAGCAGTACGAGTATGGTTCATACTCGTATGTATTTTCCTATCATCTAAGTTGTGTTTACTCTAACTTATTCTGGAGCAGTAATAATTTGGGAGTAATACTGTAAAGCGCCAGGACACCTATATTGTCAGATGGACCAATATCCATATATGAATATAGATATGTAATATGAAATGCGAATTTGTTGTTGTTGTCACATTAGACTGCGGCATACAAGGTACTGTCGGTACGCCATCCGAATAATAATAAATTTTCAGCTCTCTCTACAGTATTAAATGTTTCTCTACAGCATTGCCATCATTCCAAGAATAAAAAATAAGTGGTTATATTTGTATTTGTACATGCTGTGCATAAATTGGTATGAGTACGTGTCGCAAATTATTAATAATACTTTAAAATTCGGCATAAGTACTCTGTAATTCCATACATCTGGTATATGTAGTCCGTCAAATAACTGATTATTTTCGAAGCTGAAAAAAATGCGTTTTGTGCTGGCCAGACGATCGCAGACCTCCATAGTTGAAAATTAAAAGTGCGCTTGTAAACTTCCCGTTACTGTCAATCAGCCGCACTTTGGAACAGCGTGACAGTTCGTATTTGCATCAGCTGGCGGAAAAGGGTCCATGTTTTGGAGCACGGAAATTTAATGGTTAGTACATAATCACAACTTGCTTAATCGTGTAATTACAGTTCCCGCTTGCAGCCATCCATTAAGCGGTCCATTCACAAAATGCCTGATCCACATAGGCACATACTCACGTTTGTCCATTAACCGGCTCATTCTGACAAAAAGTCATGATGAATCGCCCAACAATTCGTCAAAAACTACAGACCATGCTCTCTATCAGCGCCAAAATATGGAGCAGCTCCGCAGCATCAATTTTACCCAGTCGAGTCCTCTCGGTAAAATCTGTATATTTAATGGCACACAGCCGCCCATCATTCCTCAAAAACTTTAATCTCTAACGGACCAACCCCGAAAACACCCAACTAAATTTAGCACAAAATTAACAGCCGGGAAGTGCGATAACATAAACATTTTCAATAAAAACATTTTTTCGTAAATTAGAAAACGGTGAGCAATGAGAACACTCCATATAATAAAGCACATGGGTAGGCCACTAGTGGCTGCTGGTGATCCATGGACAGGGCGGTGACAAAAAGTTTGGAGGCACTCCAGCTGCACCATACGATGGTCAAGACGACGGCCACTGTTCCCACGATGCCCCTACACAATATCGTTTATTAAATGGAATATGAATAGATCGCCGGACAAATTATATTACAGTTTAACCTCATAGTTATTGAGCTTACTGGAGCGTACTGATGATGGAAACGCCCGAGAGCAGGACCATGGGCAACAAGCAATAGCCCAACACACTAACAACGCAACCCATCGAGACGCCCTGCGCGCTCATTAGTGACAACAGCGAATACATCCCTAAACAGCCCAACACACCGATCCCGTAAATGTACCCGAAATGGATTTTCCCATGCTAAAACAAAGCAAACAAACCAACATTTTAATGAACAATAATTCAAAATACGAGCTGTTTTCCAAACTTAGCTACCTAATAAAACGTACTCCGAAGAATGTACTTGCTATATTTTGCTAACAAGTAAGTAACACAATGCATTCTTTACGCTTTATTTTACAGGCTTTTTCCGATTTTAAACGCTCAAACATATGAATGTATGATATAAACTCATGGTATACTTGGTACAGATAGTCCGTATGTCTGACGAAAAAACAAATTAAATTTTCGTGGCAAATAAATTCGGAATAAGATTTAACCCTAATTTTCCCATAAGCAAGGAGCAATTGCAACATAATTTTTGGCCAATGAATTCTCGTAACTAGAAGATTGAATTTCAACAGCTACAATTTAAAGAGGACAGATTTCAAATCAAACAATCAAACAGTCCTTCTGTAAACAACTTAGCACTATCTATATTTTGTTCTGGTAATTATACACGCAATATATAAATGGCATAGGGCCTGCCCCAGTGTCTTGTGCGATATAATCACAACAAACTTCTCAGCCGGAGGCGACATTAACGAGCTGTTATCGGTCAGCAGGCGAGAGAGCAGCCGCATCATCTTCAGATACTGACCAGCAATAAAAGTCCACCGAAGAGTAAACAGAAGACGAATGGTCCAGCCAGATCCGAATCGGTCATGATGCTGGCATCCGGCTTACGAAAAGGATTCAGCACAGCCAGCGTCTGCAAATGGACTGTAAGTTACTCATCTTATCTACCATCACAATTTTCGTAATTTCTCACGGCACATTAAGTTACACGTAATAACCACAGATTTATACGGCTGCAGTTGTAAAACAGAGTATTAACCGCCGGCATATGGTGATTTTATTTCGTAGAGTCATACCAAGTGATGTTCAAAAATTCAGATGTGCTCTGTACTTGAAGCATATCATATATGTTATGCTTCAAGTATCGAGAATTTCAAGTTTTGCATTTCTTCTTATCATTTATTTCAGCAGCAGTTCGCAATTTCGTAGCAAAATACGTCTGTTCTGGTGCACGGCTTATTAACGTTATTGTTTTGCTCTCGTCTGAAACACACCCTTTGACAGATCTAGAAAAAATACGACTTCGAAGGCGATAATGCCTCAGTTTCTGCACCCACACGACAATTATGTTGTGAAATTTTATTTAATTCGCAGCTATGCAACTCGGTGCTACTAAGCAGCGGCCATAAAGCCAAAAAAGTATAAGTTATTGTTTCATCGGCAGATGCACACCAGCCTTTTTGGCCGTCCCAAAATATTGGCTAAAGCTGCGTGAAATTATTCTTGGATTAAATGGTCACCAAGATGTCAGATCCATTTAAATCATAATCTTCGAAAATCCTTCAAAAATTATGGAGGCCATCAATTTCTTGGCAATCCTTCATTTCGCGAGATGCAAGCGCTGAGTGTTACCGAAAAAGCAAATTTACGCAGCTCTTTTCAAATACAAGTAATCTGGATTAATTAGCATTTTTTTAACTCTGATAAACTGCTAAGGCATGTATAAGCCATCCGAATTTGATACAAAGACGGTGCCAGATTATAATCCAACAGCTGACGGACCTTCTAGAGCGGAACGGCGCGCCATTAAAATCATTTGCAGTTGCAGTGTCCAGCAGTTTCCCGGAATGCCGGTTAAACTATACGAGTATTACTATAGCTAAAGAATTCTTGCGAATTTACAATACAGTACACGGTAACAGAATCCTTAAAAAACGAAAAATACGAAAAATACTCAAACGAAAAATACTCAAAATCTATCTGCAAAATCAAATGAAGAAAACATGATAACACCATATTATTCAATCACAGTAAAGGCTGTCAGGCCTACTTGGCCAGCTCATTACTTTTAATACATACTCACTCATTGTTTCAGCGCCCTGATTTGAACTTTTTTCATACTGTTGTGTCCCAAAATGACCCTGAATACTTCATTCATCAGCCAGTCTTCCAGTTCACTGCAATATAGAGTACATACACCCAAACCCAATATCCCAAAATATGGGACGAGTTAATTATGGAAGTTACTGCTTACAGTTATACGCTTTGGTTTATTGAACTTTATTCCATGCGCGTTTGGTTTATTTTATTCCATGTGCAGAACCTTTCAAAACGTTTCAGCACTAACTTCTGCCGGCGCTTACAAGGCAGAGATGTCAAAGAAAGCACACAGAAACTGTGGGCAAATTTTACAATACTGGAAGCGCTGTCTATTTTGTCATGAAACCACCTTTAAGGCTTTCTTTACTTTTACTGTTTAATCCCATATTATATCAACCAACTGTTCCAAACCTGATCTTTGAGCCACAAGCCAGATTCTTTGTTCCGAGAAATTCCCAACCTATAGTGCACAGTGCACACTGTACAGCAAAGGCTTACTATTTACAAAGTTAAATGCTGCATGTCGTGGTCGACGAATGTCTAATCAGAATTATGGTATTTCCTGACCAGCCCTCCGCATGCTTGTAATGCGACCGGCCCCAGTGTCCATATGCCTGAACACCTTAATCACAAGATTCAACACCGATATAATAAAATGTTTCTGAACCCATCCCAGCATAAATAATTAGTAGACTGTGCCTTGGCAGTTCATGAAACCAAAGAAAATCTGCCGTATGCACGAGTGGTTCCGTTCATACGCTCTGGAACCGAATACAACTTTGTGGTGTTACTACGTAGAAAGACCGTGTAGCATTCGACCAGTGGTCACTTCTCATTAAGGATTGTTGAAAAGCATTTACGGCACAATTAGCAGGGTCTAATCGCTGTCGGCTATTGACTGACTGAGCAGAGAAAGCCGTTTCTCAAGTGGGCAACGCACACTTGCTATTTCAACTGCGCTTGAAAGATGGGACCCATTGCAGTGTACATGATACGCTGTTCACAATCATTTTGCCCCTCTTTCACTCGAAATGCACACCATATCAAGCACAGGTACACATAGATATTCCCACCTACGTACTATAGAATTCTATATTAATTAATAAAAAGTAGTAGTACAAAGTCCAAAACTTAGCCGCACAGAATTTCTAGCGTCAGCTAATTTTTGCCATTCACTCGCAACCAAAAAACAAAAATTACAAAGACAAAACCACAAGAAAAAGTACGTCATGATAACTGATTATACCAGAATTGTTATAACTTTACGTTATTGAATAACAATATACAACTAGTTTATTTATTTTAGGATGTCTCGTGTCACGCAAGCAATCGTACGCTCAAAGGAAGGTTACCGTACAGTATTATTCTATTATAAAATTTTTTTCGTGTGCAATTGTTATTCTGGTTTCAGGCAGGGCGCCCAAAGAGTAAAGATGGAGGTGTGTATATTACGTTTCGGACAAGACAGATTTATAGCTTGCCACGTAGACTTCAATTTACGCAGACTCCCCGCTGTTTTCAATCAACCTAACTTTCACTTGCCGATACATACAACGATACTTGACGTGCCGTGCTCCGTCGGGGATGCCACTCAAACGGCTGACGATAAATAAGCAACCCACAAATGAACAGCTCATCCCAAGAATCATAACAAAAATTCTCAAATATTTAAGACACCAGCGCATACAACAATATAGCGGTTTTAAGCAATCTGAACCCAAACCAAATTACAATGCTCTCTCGGGACGAGCGCTTTTCAACAACAACTGTTAAGATGATTGAGTTACTCCCAGCTGACCACAAAGAATTTTTTGCTACATGCTGGGAGATTAGAGATTTTATGGATTGTTTCATCAGATATGCGAACGCCGGAAACTGCTGTACCATACATAAGACTGAGATTACGTAAATTCAAGAAACCAATTTCCAGACCCGCATGAACATTGCATAGGGGGCAATTTCGAATCATACGAAGTATACCTAAACACCAATCCACATACCAGGGAACCCCCAGTTTTCACAAACCATTTAAAAAGTTATTCATGTTTAAGCATTAAATCAATACAAAAATTAAACAAAAATCTCAAACAGTTTCAGATTTTTAAGAATTTCACGATATTATCATAGTTAAGAAATCATGAGGATGCTGATTATGCTCTTCTCGGATCTCAACAGCAGCCATGGCCACATCAAAGCACACAGAAGATGTAAACATGTTTGCCATGTAATGATCGCCCGAAATATTTAGCAGTTATAAAACTGCGGCTGTGCAAGGGTTATAAATGTACGATGGCGCTAATATTACTGGATTTCTCAGGGAGATGACAGTAATGACCGTCAATGCGCCTTCTCCCACCAGACTTTTTCCGATTACAAATGCAAGTGGACATTAAAGTTATATATGGCGCGAAATTGGTCAGACGTGCTCGTAGACTGGATCGGTGATGGTTTTATAATCCGAATTTCTCTGCTGACCAGCAAATGTAAGTAACTTTCCTGTTTCCGCTTATCTTTTAATGGACGGACATATCAGAGAAAATGTCTAGCGGCGGCGGTCAAGGTATAAATTATCACTAGATCCAGCCTACCCCAATCATATTGTACGGAGCAATATGCCGTGTTCAATTATGAAGTTAAAGCCTGTGTTATTAGTGATGCGGAGACAGCCCGGTAACCGCCCAGTACACTCTCCGATGAAAGCGATCAACTTTTATCCTTACTAGCCAGTGAGCCACTTTGGATACTACAGTATGTGAAGCCGTTTCTACTACCACGATTCATATCCCAAGCCAGTCGACCAGGAAGGTCTATTCCATCACACAGGATTTGAACTTTATCCTTTGAGCTAGCAGAAGTTGCTTTGAGACGATTAACCGGCGCTACCCATATGCCGGTATTTGCAGCATCTTTCTGTTTTTTATCAACCGCGGCAGAGCCAGATATTCCAATGTAAAAGCCCTGACTATTAAGCAAGTAAGTTCGCGTTAGTTACTAAAATAATTTAAACAGCATATACTACGGTAAATCACCAAATATAAAGAAATTCCTTTTCAACTAAACATACTGTATCTAGCAAGATATGCATCATACGCAAAAGAACAGCTCGCACTGTAGTAGCTGATACATTTCGATCATGGATCAGCACAAGTCTGCAAGTATTCTAAAGAGTTTCAATAACCTTTCATAGGTAAATCATAACTTAATTTTACTGCTAACTTAAAAACAAAAATTAAATTCGTATGCATTTAATTGTAAGTGCGATTCTAATCGATAACTGTTAACAGCCACCTGTGCGCCGTACGACTTAATACAGTGTTTTTCTATTTTTGTGCACATCAACCGGCAAGGGAACGATATAATAGTCTGGCCACCCTCGCGTACATATAGTCTGATATCCGAGAAACAACTTTTCGTATTAAATTATTGTCACTACTCACTTGCTAACCTTATAATTAGAACCAAAAACTGATTTGAAGTTCTAATTATTGTAACAGGAAGCGCAAGTCAACCTACACAAAATTCCAGAAAGTGAGTGTTCGGTTTAATAATTCTAACGTTACGACATTCTCTGTTACCGTTAAACAGGGCCCGAAAAATGCAAATATTTGCATTTTTGCCCGGCTTAACGTTTCCAGCCACTTTGCTATTCTCCTAAGTGCCACTTGGGTCCAATAACCTCTGTCCAAAATTCAAGCCATCTCCAGCATTGATAGATATCTAGTTCAATTCGTTACGCGCCGTGATCCTCTGTTGTTAATTGACCGTTTTTTATTGCCAGATTTTTCCTCACGCCTTTTAAAACGACCACCATGAAGCATCACTGGAAATATTCTGTTTTCTTTTTCTTCTATACCGCCATACTACGCCCTATTTCCTCCCAGCTATGTCCAGAAAAGTGCACGTGTCAATGGATAAACGGCTATTACACAGCCGACTGTAGCCAGCGCAACCTCACCAGCATTCCGGCGGACATCCCGTCCAACGTGATCGTTCTTAATTTAAGCGGTAACCAGCTTCGGCACATTGAAAACGCCACATTTACCCGCAACAATCTCGCTCATTTGCTCAAGCTAGACTTATCCTACTGTCACACAGCAACAATCGATTCATTAGCCTTCATCGGTATGAGCAATTTGCGTGAACTGAATCTGGCCGGCAATCAGCTACAGCAACTGCCCAGCGCCATCTTCACCGACATACGCAATCTCCGTGTCTTATCCCTGCGTCACAATCACCTCCAAACAATCCCCAATTTGGCTTTTAACCAGCTCAACCAGCTGGAGACACTGGACATGCAGTATAGTCAAATTCATCATGTTGATCAAGAGGGATTGCGCGGATTAGACCAACTGAGATCACTACAGCTTAATGGTAACCAACTGCGCCGATTAACACTGGCCACACTCGCACCGCTCAAATCACTGCAACAACTCGATCTGCATAATAATCCCTGGGACTGTAATTGTCATGTCCGTGATGTCAATGCATGGATGCGGCAGCGCCGTGTTGGCAGTGGATTCCTTCCGATGTGCCACGAACCGGTAGAATTTCGTGGCCGAAATTGGGATCAAATTTCAATAGAAAAGTTCGCCTGCACCCCTGAAATTCTCTCCTTAGAAGCTTTCAATATCCTTCCCGGTCAGAATATTTCCGTTGAGTGTTCGGTTTTTGGTGACCCCATTCCGGAAATCTTCTGGTATTTCAACGACAATCCTGTCAATTTCAGTAATACCAAATACGAAAGCTACTCCCAGAACATTACCACGCATTTCATCCATATGCTAATTATCCGCAATGCTAGCGAAGAGGAGGACGGGGGAAATTATCGATGTTTCGCTACCAACTGGGCGGGCAACACGACCGGTATAATGCCGCTCTTTCAATCAAGTGGAATCTTAAGTGCCACTGAAGCAACCATTCTCCTAATTGTTTTGCTGCTCATAATTTTCCCGATTATGATTCTAGCAATATACTACTGCAAATACAAACAGCATCCGCCCAAACTGTGTTCAACGCTGTGGAAACACACACCTGGTATTCCAGATAAATTTCGCTGTGTGACCTATTACAAAACTTCCGATGCCATGCTGACACCGCCGTCAAAACCGGAAGAATCGCTCCTCTTACTCACTCGCACCGAGCCCAACAAAGAAACAACAATCAACGTAATTGAGTGTCAAAACCCGCCGAGTGACGCTGTTGTTCCGCCGCCATATGGAGGCAGTAATGCGTATCAAATTTCCGATACCAGTGAGGAGGATAAGGATTCTGGTATACAGCACGAGGAAGAGAACAGCAGTGTGAGAAATGATAGCAGCAACGGCACGCCGCAAGATTTATTCACAGATTCGGATCATGAATCTGTGAGCAAAAGCCGAACTGTCACATTTTCGCCTAATACCAGCGTCTACACCAATTCTATGCGAAGATCGCCAGGCCCGGCAAAAATCGCAGTTAATTGTTTACCGGGTTATGACCCGTATTTAGGCACCGAAGTGTAAAATTTATTAATAAATACTTTATTACAGCATTATTACTCTCGACTTTAGGTCGCTATGTGCTCGATAACTTCGGAAAATGATGCATTTACGTACACTTGTGTTACTGATATGTGAGATCCGAATTCACTACAAATGGACCAAATGTTTTAGAAATAAACTCATCGCATACAGATACTACTTAGTTAGCCTTACCTTCTGTACGATATGGTCGAAATTTATACCAAGTTCTGTAACGGAAGGAAGATACAACTTTTAGGCTGGTCAGCTGGCTCCATGCACACAAGAGGAAGAAAAAAGACAAATCATTTACCCTCTAATAAAGGTGGCTCATTTTCGACATCCTCCACGACAGCACCAGTTTGACCAAACTGTTGTGATGCTACATTATTTTGTTGCATGTACATGTACGAGTTGTCTGCTGGTGTTCCGAAAGACGTCCTAAAAAACAAATATATTATAACCGTCACATCCAGTTTCTCGAAATTCTATACGAAAATATGCGTACGCTATAAAAAGCGTGCTGTAAGACGAGTGTACGTATTTGAATTAATATCATATAGTTTAATGGGCAGTAGCCGCCAAAGCCATTAATATCATTGTCGGAATGAAACTTTCGTCAAGTGCATTGTAGTCTTACGGATGCCATGACATCAAAACTTCACATGTTAACAATCTGGGAACACTTTCAAAGTTTTGGAAAAAAAATTAGTTTTTGTTCCTCCAGGAAGATTTAAAGTAAATCAACGAAATGGCTATGCGCGGGAGATACTCGCGCAAACCATATGACTACGAAGCCCACGAAAACAAAAAAATATCGTTTCAGACACCAGCACTTCACAGATATTTGAACCGAACTATCTCATCTTAACTACTGCGGTTTTACTCCCCCCAGTAAAAACGTCGAAAAGATTCCATTCCCCTTCTAACATTACCGGTACTACAAGTCGGCATAACCACGCAAAATTAGGATTTACAAGCCGGCATAATGGAACCATCGGTGCTGTTAATCGTGATATTGGTGGAATGGTGGTTAATTCTGTACTAATTGCTCTCATACAATGGACTCTACTCAACTGAAAACTGGGATCGCTTTGTATTCTATGAAGCAGTTTCAAAACTGCATCACAGAATACATGACCAGATCACCCACAAATTCATCATAACTGCACTAAAAATCGGCTGTAAAGCTTGCGTACGTAAAATCGAAACTTCTTAACGGTGGGATGGTGGTCATGCATCTAACTACTGTCGACGATCACAACCAGACGGTCCTTAAGGAGGGAGGGGTGGTCCCCAAGCGGAAAAAGATGTTAAAATTTCCAAAAAAATTAAAAAAATTCGGGACTAGCGCTACGGGAGAACAATACTGCGCACCCCCTTCCGAAACGCTGAGGACGGGCCTGATCACAACCACGAGCTCACAAGTACAGTCGAGTATCTTACGGAAAAGGACACTGTCGGCGACGGAAAAAGACACCGTCGAATAGCCGCTGACCAGTCGTGTACCGCTCCGAATCATCGCGAGCACGATCAAAGCGACTCACCAGTCAACGGGAGCGTTTGGACACTCATAACAGTCTCGGAATGCGTTACCTTAAGCAAAGACATTTCACACGAATTTAACTTTGATGCAGCAGAACTTCGGCAACATCTGGCCATGAGCGATACAACTTCATGCGAAGATTATTCGCACCGGAGCAGTTCCCGGTGCGTTCAATCACCCGGGTCAGAGCAAGTTGAAGCTGCAGGACCATCAACTGCTGCTGTTGAAGTGCAAGAAATTTTAGAAACCCTACGTACTGAGGGCAGCCAAACCGCTAATACCGGAAAACGTTTTTACAAGCACTGGTCCAAAGGTCCCGAATTTTCGACCAATTACTGGCAGACCAGCAGGGCATGTGCGACCATGTCGTCGACCTTTAGAGGGAATTTTCAATGCGGCAAAGGAAATTCTAACAACAACCGTAACTCTGATAAGGCAAACAACTCTACGCTTGCTGCTAGAACTCAGCATTTGGGTAAGATTTGCTGTTGCGGAAAAGCATCCAGACAGTCAATTATTGTCCTGACCGAGTTCGGGAATGATGTCGCGAACGGCGAAATTATTATCACGGGATACTGAAACAACCGCCAAGGGTTTCGGGATGAAAGGCCCCCGCAGCAGAACGGCAGCCACGAAACTATTCGCCCCTCCGCTAAACAAGCTGAAGCTTTAGAAAAACAATGAAAGCTAAACAGCTGCCAGGCTCACCGCCGGTGCCAGCTAAGCAAAGAAACCCTGCTCCTTGAACTTGAGTAGCAATTTTTGTTATGCTGCTGTCTCTTTGTTAGCTTCCGATTCATAATTGATTGTCCATCGGTGGTAATGCAACAAAAACTACCGCGTGCGGCCAATTTCATACAACGTTCACTATGGCTATGGACGAGAGTATTCCAGCAGCTCGTGTGCAAACTTGATCCTAAATCAAATCGAATACGGTACCCAGGATCTGCTGATATGGTCCGATAGAATGCTTCGTTTCTGATCTTTGCACGCCGACTTCGCATAAACTGACAATGTTCTAAATACTTTACAACAAATAAAATTAAAAATTAATATCAATAATATAGCATGTACGGAAGTGTTACAGGAATTTGCAATTCGGAACCTGAATTAAACTAATCCAAATAGTATAGGCTCGTGTAAACGTCAAAGCTGAAGGCCAGTGAACACAAACACATGTACAAAATGAAGGATTCAAGACTGTTGGTGTTGGCTGGATCCCCGTAGTACTACTCGAAGCCACGAAAGTTGTACGACAAATACCTTCATACCTGAATTCCTGTAAATTATTACGACAGCTTATAACAGACAGTACTTACGGATTATACATAGGAGCAGCGTTGTAACCAGCTGGGTTTGGCACGGAAGACGCTCCGGGACCAGCTGGTCCGTTCCCTGTCGTCGAGGAATCCGGCCATCCGTAGTTGGAGGGATAAAAACCGCTGTTATCATTATAGCCTGACATCCTGGGGAATCACAACCAGATCAGCAGATCCAAACAGAAATACGTAGAACCGAACACTCGACGGGATCAGCAGTCTCACGCACTGCTCGGGGAAACTTCTAGACGGGGTAAGACGCACAAAGGAACACCTGGGCTTCTGTAGAGTAGAAAAAAACCAAATGTTTTCAGCACTGAGGCAAGCGTATCGACATTACACGTGGACGTACCAAACGGCGATCAAAAGACCGTCTCGAAATAAATGGCGAAAAAGGCTGTGCTTGAGCTCCAAGTCCAGTCACACAATTCTCCGAATGCCTCGCAGCATATGCCAACTGAACTCGCTCACCAGTCTGACAGTCCTGCGATACTTCCAGACGCAAAGGATTCGTCGTGCTGTTTTCTTCCACCGCTGACTATGAAACCCTCAATTAGGACCGCCAATTCGCAAACGAAAACATCACAACTCGATTCACAGTTCAAATAAGCAAACCGCAGCAAACGACAATTTGCCAACTTCAGCACGTTGCCAACTAGTAATTCGCCGTTACTAGAAAACTAGAAAACGTTAACGCTTAACGTTTTCTAGTTCAGTGTTTCTCTAATTGTAACGCTGCATTACAAAAACAAACCACAAACCGACAAACGCAGCAATAACTGTAATTACGAGTATCATAAAAATTTGGAATTAATCAGTATCCTAAGATTCCTAACCAAACACTTTGGTACGGTTCTAGCACTGTTCTACGTCAATTCTGTCCTAGAACCGCCTACCAAGGGTGGTCCCGGATAAAGTACAGTGAAGTACAACACGCGTTCCTAACGCGAAAAGAGCTCCTCGTAGACCTAACGCTATAACGAACCCCACCCACAGCCAATGAGCAGGGCTTTACCCATCGAATCCTAATTGCGTATAAGACTTACACAATTTCGTCCGTTTCGATTGCAACCATATATTATATTATTGCTGCTATTAGCCACTGTAACTGTACATGCATGTGATATTGGATTTTTTGAATCAAAATGTCGTTTTTTCTTTCATGAAACAATTTTGATATGTTGTATTTGCTGATCACTTTTCCGCTGAATTTCACTCACTTATCACCTTTTCGATTTAGAAATTAAAGACACGTTGCCGAAAGTCATGTTGGCAGTTGGTACAGTCCACAGAACGTTTCTTACCGTGCGTTTTTTTAAGCGATATAAAAATCAGAGTTCATACAAGTCATACTGCATCGATTTTTAAAATTTATTATTGCTGTATAACAAAAAAATCTCCAGTGTAAAAATAAAATTGTTTCCAAAAAAGTGGCAAAATACCAAAACTTTTTAGCTCTTTTCTTACAACGGCGCCCCTTTTGTTGTGCGACCGGCTGCATTACGCGATGTACTGTAGGATATACATCAGGTAGTTGTGCTACAGGATGAACATTAGGTTGTACTACAGGCTGCACTTCAGATTGCGCTTCACGTTGTATTCAATATATTTTAAAGGCAATCAATATTATAAGCATTAAAGATTAATACAAAACATCTCTTGCGCTTAATTTACTTTTTAACGTGAACTGCACATTAAGCAGCTTCCGCTGAAAAATGTAATAAATTCTTTTTAAACTTTGATTTGGACAAATTTTTTACCATAATGAATTGGATACGTAGGATTATCATTTTGTTTTATCAAACTGTAGAGGAACCCTTTAAAAATTTACATCCTAAAAATAATGTTAATTTCATAAGGGTTTACAATAAATTGCACAATATGTGGTAATGGCGAGTAAAAACGTATAATTGTGGTAAGCTAATTTGGACTTGCCAAATCCTAAGTTTACTAACTGAGTGCCAAAATATTGGATCAGCAAAACAGAATTGATGTATAACCCAGCTATTGAATTTTTTTTTTGAAGATGATTTTCAAAAAATTGGAAAATGACAAAATGATGAGCCTTCTCGTACAGCACCGCCCGTCAGGTTTCATTACAATAACCGGAATGTTGTACAACAGGTTCCACTACACATTGTACTATAAGATATACATCAGGGCGTACTACAGGATGTACTTTCTGGGTGTGACGCTGTTCTAATGACTCAATTACTTGGTTTTCAGTTAAAGTAAACTATATTTTTTGCCTGATGAAATTAACTTTCCATAAACACGGTTTAACTCACCCGTACTCGTATTGTATTTTATTGAAGGCCCTTATAAAAATAACGTCATTTCTAGGATGCAATTATTAAAGGGCCTCCCTGTAAACTTGATAAATCAAAATGATAAGTCTACGCATCCAATTCCTAATAGTAAAAAATTTGTCCAAATCAAATTTAAAAAATATTTCGTTTTCCAACGGAAGCTAGTAGCTACTTAATCTTTTGTTAACGTTAAAAAGCCAATAAATCGCAAAAGGTTTTCCATAACAATTTTTTTGATGTTTATAATAATTATGGTCTTTTAAAATATATTAAAAACAACTCAAAGCGCAATCTGATTTGCAGCCTGTGTTACAACCTAAGGTTCATCATGTAGTACAACCTGAAGTGCATACTGTAGTACAACCTTATGTACATCCTACAGTACATCGCGCAGTGCAGTTGGTAGTACAACAAACATACGCCGCCATAAAAAAACAGCTAAACAGTCTCGGTATTTTGCAACTATTTTTTGGAAACCATTTTATTTTGTAGTGGTGATTTTATTGTACAGCAATAACAAATTTTAAAAAATTGATGCAGGACGACTTGTATGAATTCTGTTACTAGTATTTATATCGCTTATAAAGAAAGCGCACGGTAAGAAACGTTCTGTGCCAGCATGACTTTCTTGTTTCTAAATTGAAAAGGTGATTAATGAAATTCAGCGGAAAGTGATCAGCAAAAACAAATTATCAAAATTTGTTTTATGAAAGAAGAAACGAATTCTGACATCGTTATTCAAAAAATCCAATATCACATGCATGTACAGTTACAGTGGTTAATAGCAGCAATAATATAATAATGGTTGCAATCGAAACTAAGGAAATTGTGTAAGTCTTATATGCAATTAGGGTTCGATGGATAAAGTCCTGCTCATTGGCTGTGGGTGGGAGTTCGTTATAGCGTTAGGTCTACGAGGAGCTGTTTTCGCGTTAGGAACGCGTGAAGCACAACTTGGCAGTTTTCCTCTGATGGTGAAGTCAAAGTGCAACTTGGAGCAGAGTCAGACTGCGGAGCGTTCCGGAAAGACTCCAAGTGTCAGATGGAAAAAGTGGCGATCAGTCAACCACCAAACCAGGGCTATCATTGCTAAAACATTATCAGCGGGCCTTTTTTGTGTAATGAAAGAACTAGCGGATGGACTCGTTATTAACACGCTGCGGCTGCATCAGATTGGTTCGAACTGGACTAGTAAGTACTCATGCTGTTTCGGTTCTGGAAACTGAACCTGGAGGTTTAAAGACTTGCGCGGTTCTGCTGCTTTAAGATTAGATAAATTAGGGCTAAATGAGTAAGATCAGATGAGTAAGACAGATGTAAAAGTCTGGATTTAAACAAAAAATATCTGTATACAGTACTGTACTTATCTGTACCTAGCTGGACTAAATAAGCTAACCCGTGGCGTGTGTTGCATAACTGTACCGATCATGGATTTTGGTAGGTAAATCCCGGCAAGGGGCATACTGTTAAACTCACATCGCTCATAAATCATAAGCACTTTATTAAATTAAAACTTTCTCAGTTAAGGAAAAAATTATTCTCACACATTAATGGTTAAAAATTCTTCGCTTGTTACGTAAACGCTTTAAAATTTGCGAAATATGAGATTAGTGGCATTTACAAAGTAGTTGGTGTTTCTCACAGATACCCAGTGATTAAACACCTGTACGTAGGTATCTTCCTGCATCTTCAGCTTTTTCACACACAAGGAACTGTCAGTTGTTACGGCGGATGTCTCCATTTTTAGTACAAAATAATTTTTTTTTATTTTCCAGCTGCAGCATCTCCGCTAGGACGTATCAATCATGTGCAACAATGCTATAGCGTTAAACAACGGTAGAATTAAAACTTCATTAAATTTTCAGTATTTTGTAACAGAGAGTGCCTTACTATCGTGTACACAGTACAGATACAGCAAACTGCACCATTAATGCAGAAATGTGAGCATAAGACAGCACAGTAAAACAACGCGTTTTCAAAAATTGTGCGTTTAAGGCTCGTGAGGCATCAACCAACCTAAACGTACTAATCAAACTATCACAAAAATGCTTTTCCAGAAAAAATGTACCGAAAAACAATTCAAAAACATGGACGGAGGGCTTGACTGTCATGACTGTTTTTCGTGCAATCATACAAAAAGTGTCAGATTTTACTGTCTTGCCAATTGCCGGTTCCGTCTCGTAATTGGCCATTTGGCGGATGGGCATGGTTAGGTGGTTTCAGCAGTCCGGTGTCAAGTGCATCCTGCGAATCTGTGTCGGCATCTGCAGAGGGTTTCTTCTGCCTGTTAGGGAATAATTTGGAGTTGCGTGACGTCCCATTAGTTGTGGGACTTCCGGTTAACGGCGTTAATATCGTGCTATCCAGATGAACTTTAGTTTGCCTGGTCAAGTACGGCGAGGAAGCGGAAGCGCTTATTCGACGATCTGTTCCACCGCTTCCACGCAACGCTTCCCTCTGAAGAGCATGCCGCCTGAGAGCGGTTTTGATTGCCGCTTGCACCTACGGAATCAATAAGCGAGAGTTATATGTACAAGTACAGCTGCAAATGGTACCGCAAAATTCAATACTCTACAATTTTTACATATCAGTTTGCCCAAAAACCTAAGAAGTATCACGAAATGTTCACGTATCTAAGACGTGATTAATCAAATTCATCGAGCGATTAAATAAATTATGGTCACCGGTGATATTAAATGTCTGGCAGTTGTTAGTCTTACTGATTTCTGCATATGGATGCATGCATGACGCCTGTATCAATTTAATACGCTCATTTTCTATACATCGTCAGCCTACTACGTTTGAACTTACGATTAGTGCACAATAGTTTGTTACGAATTGATATACGTATATACGCGCAAGGGCGCACAAAAATTAAATGGGTTTTGCTTACCTCTCCGTTCATGAAACAATAAACCAATGCCACAAAAAATCCTTCAAACGCTCGCAAAAAATGCGAAACATATAAAAACGTGGCATATAGCTCAAACTGTTTTTTATTTGGAGGAATCGCCCAGATCAAATGAGTGATACCAAGTAGTGGTGCTAAGACGATTGTGGCCTTTATGGCTTTCCTAAACATGAAACAGACATCCGTTACCGCATGCAAAAGCAAGGGCACATTGGGTGAATTTTACGTTTCACTACAAATCAAGCACACGATTTAATTTTAAATTTTTTGTTTCTTTAACTCTTATTGAGTTCAGATCATATTCACTTGAAAACGAGACAAAATTTTCGTCTTGATTCAAAAAAAGATGGAAGATAAGTTTGCTAATGCTTGAGACACAGCACGCAATTAATTATACGTACGAGTCGTTAAAGCTAATAATAGCATCATATGTTCGGTTAGACGTTGGTGAGATGAAAAGAAGCAAAAGGTTTTTGTTTTTTTGGCAATATGAGGACATTAATTTCACAAAGTGAAGCGACGCACGCACCGGCACCCCGAGCTCCAGTGCATTATGTAATGCCTTATGCAACACGCAGTTTTCCAGCATGCGTCGGTTAGGCAATTACCTTATTTGCACCGTATCTGATTGACGGGAATCCCGAAGTTTCGTTAACAACACCCGGATTATATTGACAAGGAAAATCAGGTTGATGGCAATTACAAATAGGCGGGGGACTTCCAGAATGTAGTAAAATTCACTATGATTATGGTCGAACCAACAATTGTCCGCGTAACTGCCATTTCTCTGCGAAATTCGATCCGGTAGCCAGACAAATTCTATTATCGGAGCCCAAATTGCAGTTAACAGCGCAGGAATTCCTACAAATGCATGCAAAGAGGATAATTAAATTAAATCGGTAATCGGCTTTAAATCTGGTTATCATTAACAACCAGTACTTACCCCAACCTGTTGCACAGTAGAGTATAAAATTTGGTTGCGAGGATTCGAATACTTTCCAGGCCACAACGTTATGCATATACAACCCTTCCTGCAAAGAGTAAATGGAACAAATTACGCACACATACATTATTATTATGTGGATTTGTGCAACATTACCAAAAACATCCAAAAAAACATGGCGGTCTGCAAAAGAGAAGGACGTTTCTTAACGCTCATTTTGGCAATCAAATGCGGCTTGTACGTGCACGGTGCACCGTAGATACCTTTACCTTGATATTAAATTAACAACATTCTCTTTAACTTAAAAAGTGTACAATATTCCGTGTTTTAATGGCTTATAACAAAGGTTCAATGGCTTTAATGGCGTATGGATGGTTTTGCGGAAAGTCGTTTTTTAAATTTTATTAAATTTTCTAGAAAAACGATAAAAATTAATGTAAACAACAACTGCTTGGAAACTTACTCTAAATCTCTAATAAAAACACAGAAATCAAAATTGTGTATTTGCTTGTCTCGATAAATTTATTACTAGAAGTCTCGATTTTAGCGAAAAATTTTTTTTTCGTTTTTATAGAGTGTTTTTATTTTTGCGATTTTTATTATTATTATTATTATTATTATTATTATTATTATTATTATTATTATAGCAACTACAGTAGCCAAACTCCATTAAAGGAGACTTTATGCATGTGCGACTTTGATACCCTTTTTCTAATTTCTTTTATGCGCAGTTTTTTACGACATGGGAAGTACTGCGGTAAATGTAAGGTCTATTTTCGTTTCGGCCGTGTTAGACACCAAATGCATGGCTTCACGCTGCCGTATCGGAAGCGCGCCGTCTAAATATACATTTTTCATCATTTGTCAATATAGCTTGCGTGAAAACATGGCCTGCAGTGTTCTTCATTCAGTAAAATGTCGATAATTTATAATTAATGTTCATTTCCTGTCGATCGTTTCACGTCTGCCCTCCTGTCAGCTCCGTTTCTGTGTTAGTTCTTACAATCTGATAGTTTCTGCATCTTAACTTTCTTAAAATCACTGGCAAACTCACCCTGCCGTATTCGATTAAAACCACCAAAATTTCACACAATGGGCGCTGAAATAAAAAATGTGTAAGTCGTGTAGAAATGATTGCTTATAATATGACCATGCAACCATGTTTAAATAACGAAAACAACGTTATAATTTATGATATGATTATTATTTTAATAACATCATAAATTCATGAAATATGGCGGTTAACTTACCAGCTTTCGGATACTCGCGCCTTGTACAGCTTTACCAACATATCCCGACTGAAACTGATCACTGATTTCGATGACCTTGCATAAATTCATCAGCGCAATGGCGATGAAAAGATGCATATGAATCGTTGTCCTCGAGCATCTTAATGTCCTGTACAAAACAACAAAATACAGGCTAGATCTAACAAATTTTTTTTTAAAAAACGGAATAACTAATTTACGATAATAATATCGAGTTTACCGAAAGTAACGAAATATTAGCAGCGATATTATAACGCAAATTAGCGAGAGTGGAAATCCAACTATCTCAATGGTTCTGGATTGGGTTAGTACGGCTGCTCTGGCAGGACCATCCGTGCCGTTGCCATAAAATTCGTCTATTTGTCGCATGACATCTTCGTAAATGCATGGTTCATAATCCGTATAACCTTCCGCTCCCTCTGTTCCCTTCTCCATATTCTTTCCGGCCCACGTCCCATCCCAATCGCATGTTTTTCGCGCGTAATCTGTAAAAGCATATAAAAAATAACAACTAAGTAAAAGTTCTTATATACTTAAATAATCAGCCTTAATTTGCTGCAGCTGCCGCAATTTTTCTTGCTTCCATACGTTGTTACTTTTTTAACAAGTTCAGTAATACGGTATGCACCACATGCATGGCCAGCTTCTCAAATCTGATAATTAAAAAAAGCAACGGTGGCGTCTTTATCGACATACTTAATGGATTTACTCCTTGCACGGGTGGGCATAGCTGAACAATGGTTTCGCCAGGAGGGGCTGCAAAGCAATGAAAAAGTTGAAAACGTCACGTAGTGTTGTGCTACTAAATAAAATTAAATAACGGCCTTTTACTTAGTAAAAGTCCGCCTAATATTAAAAGTCTAGTAAATAGTAAGGTTTTGGAAACAAAGTTAGTAAAAGTAAGTAAATGTGCTGCCGGAATAGTAAAAAGTAAGTAAATATTAAGGTTCAGTGTTGAATAAATAAAAATCAATTACTAAATTATTTACTAATTCGTTTTATCAACGTTACGGAAAATTGGCGTGTCAGCCGCCGCCACTCGCAGGTAAAGTGGGTGTGCGCAGTAGTCGGCTGCCAGCCTGCCGTCCTCAAAAGCAGCAGTATTTACTTTTCAGTATGCACCTGTATAGCTCGATTAATGCATAAGAAATTTATCTGCATTATTTTCAGTAGTCTGTTGCGCTCTGAAACTAGCGAAATTCGAAACTGTCAATGCTAAATTACATTTATTTAGTAAATTTACTTTAATTTAGTAAGTAAATGTCCCTGCGAAAATTGAAATAAAAAGTAAAAGTAAGTAAAAGTCCCGAAAAATTTTGAATAGTAAGTAAAAATAAGTAAACTTTCCAAAGCAGATAGTAAAAATAAGTATATTGGCAAGGACTTTTACTACCCAACACTAAAAACGTGCTGCTCAAGCAGTCGAGAATTTTCAGTGCCGGAAATCAGTGTGCACACCTTGTACGAGTTCTGGTTATTGCTGCTTATAATATTATTGTTATCTTACTTGCATATTTTATGAAAAGTAGTTATGCAAAAACAGTGAGTATTTTAGTTAGTTGATAGCACATATCGCGTAGTCTGATGATTTGTTAGCGAACTTGCTTAGTAAATTTTTATATGATGTTGCTTTCATATTATATTATGTTTTAACCTTTTTTAATTTGGTCAATCTTTTATTCTACTACTCAATTTGGATTTGATGCTCTCACGCAAAATGAACAACTTAGTGCGGCTCAGAATAGGTAATGATATCCACTAGATTATCATGAAGTGTTAACGTAATTGTTGTTACCTGCAGGCCAGCACAGAAATCCATCGGTTGTACCCTTGCACCATCCTATCATCAATACATGTAACGACAAGCTTAATGACAGGATCATTTCGCGTGAATTAAAAGCCGGATCATGGTGAACCGTTATGTGTATGTTATGAACGTTGCTCACCGGCTTCGCCTAAGTACTGGTTTACTTTCTCCAGAAAGGCCTTGCAGGCGGTCTGGGTACCAAATAACCACGGCTCTGGAGGAAGTACTGACGACGAGCTGGAGGCTGCCGAATGCTCCATATGGCGGCAAGACCAGAATTTTCGCTGAGGAATGTCTTAAGTCTCTTTAATAGAAGAACCTAAGAAATCAAAACAGTGTATTGCAATCAACACGCATTGAAATTTCAAGCAAATACTTCGGCTAACTTTTTAAAGCTTTTTACGAAACAAAAACAGCACGCGTTTGTACAGTGCAAACGTAAGGCCGCCATTCATTAATTGATGCTCTTGTGGTGATTATAATTGCTAAAAAAATTACAGTTTGCTTGTAGCAGAAATCTGGATTGAAAAATGTTTCAGAGCCACGACGCAATAATATCTTTGTATAGTATTATTTGGCTATGATTCAGCATAGCTAATACTGCTACGGCGCTGCCGATTACAATTCGCATTCAAAATATAGTTCGTTATGTTAAGCTCCCGATGATTTATTATCGAAAGTCGTTTATTAAAAAGCCGATGTAATGGACCACCTTCTGGATCCATTAGTGTGTTTAGCCATAAGGTCATGGCAGATATATGTATTACTGTACTTTCGAAAATAGTTTGAACTTACAGCTTGCGCTATGACCAGACCATCGCCTTGCACCAGATATTAATGTATACCGCTTGGAAGAAACGTTGCTCTCTGCGCAAGTGTTACCGTATAGGTATTCATCAGTTCAATAAATATACTGTACTATTACACGCAAATCAAAACATTTGAAAGTACTCCTTTGGCACTGCGATCTACGCGTCTACTGTCGAACCGGAAACGAAAGATGAAATGTGTGTTTGCGTTCTGCCGGACTTGCATTTGGACATTTTCAGTCCGGAAACCAGCGCTGTCTATTTTTCGATGAAAAGAATTGAAAATCTAAATAATAAAGCAAACCGGTGCACTAGTCCAAACAGATTCGAAAAGCAATCACGAATGATTGGTTCAGACTGTTAGTCGATCAACCCTGTTGTTTGTGAAGTGGAACAAATCCTCTGTCAAAATACGATGTTGAATAAAACTGGACATATGTACTGCAACAATAAACCTTACTCACTAATACTGCGATAAAAGGTCACCTGTTAGATTTGCAGTTGATTACGGGTTTGGATTTTAAAAATTATACAACTATATCAAATATTAGTCGAGGTTGCGAACTATGAGATTCGCTGAAATTACTATCACCACGATGTAGTGCAAGATAAAAAAATTGTAAAAATCCAATGAAGAAAACCGAGAAGCCGCGATATCTGCATTCATAAAAACTTGTGCGGTCTACATTGATTTAAAATATACCAACACGTACTGGTGATTTTAGCGTAAAGAGACAAAACTTGGATCTCATAATCCCGATTTGACCCGTAAACAACTGCATGGATTATAAACATGTCTTTCTTCGCTTCGGTAACTAAACTCAAAAAGCTCATCTGCGCATACATCAGTCTACTACCGGCGCTCAGTCTGTTAAGGCGCATCATGCTGCAACATTTTATAGCAAAAGTTTGTGTCAAAATTTTCAATACTTTTATACACGTTTTTTAAACAATCACCCATAATTAGTGGTATAGCGGAAGCAGTGGCAAAATGCAGAATGCACTTTAAGTTTTCGCTCTGTGGAAATGCACAAAGAAGCTTCAGAATCCCAATATATATGGCACCCAGGATACGCTGATAACACCGACATGCGTTATTTATTCGGGGTACAATAATGCTGTGGGTACAAAGTTTTTCTAATGCCCACTAAAATAGTTTAAATCTGTGCTTTGTTCAGCGGCATTCATTAGCTTAACAGCAGGATGCATGTGCCGTTTCCCTCGATCCTTTGAGAGCAGCGTTCTACGCGTTAGCTGTGTGTCGGCAACATACCGATATTGCTGTAGATAGATCTTCCCACGCTCTTAACAACGTCAGTGCGATCTGCAACTCCAAAACGATTCCTATTGGGAATACGACAGCTAATTTGTCGACAACCGGGCCAGTTTTCTTACTGTGCACAATTGTCGAAATTCTGTAATCCTATGCTAACCAGTTCATGATTTGATACTCTTTCTTTCTTGCTTGAGATGACATGCATATAGGCATAATATAACCGGTTTCCAATCGTTTGAAAAACTGTGCGGTACCAAGAAAAATTTAAAAAGTTCAGTTTCTTTACTGCTTCGCTTCGATACATCCTTCAAAATTTTCGAATGTATAATTCTATTGCATTAATACGGTAATGTTTGGCAATCTGGATAGATCGCCAAAATTCATATCAATCACCACACAGCGCACGCATCTCGTGAGAGTCATCACGAAATACACAATTCTGTACTTAGTGGTTATTACAATACCTATGTGCGTACACCATTACCAGCATTAACACACGAGCACGAGCATCGCGATAATTTTTCTCTCAGCTTAATACGATAGTTTACTGCAGCTTAATAATAAAACATTTGGTGATGCAAGCGTTTACGTCTTTCTATACCGTAAACTAGCAATAGCAATGCAGACGTTCATAGTAAGTAAAATTTTTGGGAAAAATAAAAGTGTCTAAAGCATGAGCTGGACAAGAACATTCTTTTTATACTTTATAGAACATGGAAAACGTTTTATAAACTGTTACTGCACTTATTATTAACTTTGTGAGCATATGTCATGCGTTTGCTGTCAGTAACTGTCCATATACTTTCAAAAACTTGCTTGTAAACTGCGATGCGATAATACGGGTGTAATTATTATCGTGTAATCTTATAATATAGCAGAGGTAGAATCCAAAAGTGCACGCAACCACAACCAAGACCATATGTACACCGAAAACCCGGCCATGTAGTGCGCCTGAGATTTCCACACAGATAAATAAGAAATCGATGCTTTCTAGTATCTAGCCAGAGTATACTAGCATTTCTTAAGTGCAGAATGATAATCCCAGTTATTCCAATTAATAAATCAGAGGATGCGTTGTCTAATTCATTATTTAACTAGCTAGCGGAAATAGATGGGGCTGGCCGTAATATCAGGCACCAATAAAATTAATTTCCTTGCATGATCTTCAGTTTGTTAAGGTTTTGCCAGGACAAAGCTAGAGGCACATCACTGTCATTAGCTTTGACACCATAATCTACTCATTTGCTGCCTATGCTTAAACTGGGCTTAGAGGTACGCGAAAGTGCATCGCGATTTTTTATCCGGAGAAAGATCGTGACGCATTTGTGCACAAGAGGCGCCGCTATAATTTCAAGTATATGTTTTCAACTGTAGAATTCATTTGGAGCGAAGAAACGTAATGGTATGCTATGTCTTGTATGGGATATTACTGATAATCGATCCAGTACGTAACATGATACAGTAAGCTGCCAGATCAAGAGGGCAATTGTTTTAATAACAGAAACCTCGGATGTTTACACTGTCTCACGTATCTCACATACCTAAGGAAAAACGGGATCTCACTGCACCTGCTTAATATGTCCACAATGAGGAAAAACGTACATACGTTCATATCCGGCATTTCGCACATTCAGGAACATTGAGCGCATCGCATATGTAACAACTGATCACCAAAAAGGGTGTCGAAGCAAAATCACACCAGCACTGGAGGCGATCAAGATTAAACTGTTTACTATAACTTGCCTAAGAACACACGATGCGCATGGCGTACATTGACGGCAGCCTGATTGTCCCGCAGCCGATAGTGATATGCTGTATAATCAAACGTGTACCATCAGTGAAGTGTCTCCAGAGAAATTACTAAACTGACCGAAATTCCTCGTGCATTGACGGTCATGTCAGAGTTTCCACTTATTTTTTGGATCAAGATTTTCTATCGCCACAGATATGCACATATATCGCCGGCAATATGTACAAGCATTATTCGTGAATGTTAGCAATAATACGTATATAAGAAAATTATGTAGGACCGTGTCATATGGCTACGGCTTCTTTTCTGACGATGTGCTTTACATATCACGCATTATAAACTCTACATTCTGACAGCCGGAAGCTCAAATTGGCGCACACATCACTGTCATACTTCATCTCGGAGAAAGAGCGACCCAAAGCGGCACTGGCTGGGATAAGAAAAGAAACTGGGGATACTCTCGCAAATGGTAGAAAGGCCGGCACTAGGAAACACGGGGTCTTCTTGATGGGTAATCAATTAAGTATTTGTGCGCGGGAAAGCATGCAAAGCCCTATATTCAAAATAGTTTGCCAGAAAAACAGTCAGCCTTGTCGTCGGGTTGGTCTCTGTTCTTGCCAACACCACCGTACATGCACGGCATCTGCACAAATCGGGATATGGTGATATGACTTGGTTTCATGCACACCACCAGCTCGTGTGTATGTATACAGAAAATGTATACTTCATTAGGCAGTGTGACGACAGGCGCACTGTGCGGATTCGCTGGTCGGAACGAAATTGTTCGCCCTGTGCTCCTGCTGCATTTCCCGCCAATAATCCTGTTCCACATGATCAGTAAAAAGATCGGCTAAGTATGCAAACCAACTTTCATTCCCAATCGCTGGGAGTTTTCAGTGCGTTACTTACCCGGCACATTAGGGATAATGGTTATCGTAATAATCCTCAGTTGATCCCGAAAAGTAAATTAACGCTGGTTTGTTCCGAATTGCTAATAGGAAACCGCACTGCAACGCAGGCCAGTGCAAAACTTGGGTGCTCGTATAAAGCACCACCGTGAAAAGATGCGGCATGGTCATGTTGAACGTTGCGCTTTCGTCTGTTTGAAACAATTTCACCAATGTTAATGACAGTTAGCCGAAAATTGCAATTGTTATACATTTCCTGCAGGCTATCGGCAGCGTGGGTTAAAAGGTAATACTGGAACTGCTTCGTAAAATTTGTAGGTGACAACTAAATGCAAACAACTACATTTCAAAATTAGGTGACACTGCCAATTACTGTGTTATGAATATATACAGAGTACATGAACACATACACATCTGTATACTCGTATGTCGCATTTACCATAGAATAGTAGTTCTGTACCGAATAGAATATTTAATCTAGATGCATGGTGTCACATACCATCGCTTTTTGCTTTTGCATTTGCCAACACTTATTTCTTTGTTAATTGTATAACTTTTGTGCAAAGTGTAACTTACGGTTAGACGTACAACAGCAGTAGCTTAGCAGCTGTTGTGCTGTTTAGTGTTGCGTATCAATGGACTGCGAACGAATGTTATATCGTTAATTCGTTAATAGACACCTGCAGTCAGCTCAAAAACAAAATTTATTGGGATCAAAAATTAAACAAGATGATGTGTCTGAAAAGCAGTACAGTATCTCTAACATAAATCAGAACCATAACGGCTACTGCATAAAAGAAATATTACAAGGTGAAAAAATTTTGGTTTTGACCTTTAAAAAATAAGGTAACCGAACGGCTGCATAGCATACAATTGGCGAGCAAGGTTGCGAGCTTATAGAAAATTCTTGCACTAGCAATTCGGGTATCAGCGGTTTATTTAACTTTAAGTTAGCAATGGAATTTCATATTTCATGATCAACTTTTGAGTGATGTGGAACAAGAATATATGCATCTACACATTTTCAAAATCGTAAAGAACAATTTTTCAATGAGAAACTTTAATTGAGTGTCCACCGGTAGCTGCACGGGTATTGGGTACTGGCATAATGTTACTAAACTAAATTATGGTATTATGATACTAAACTAAATTGCAGTATTTAGTAATATTATGGTATAGGATATTGAGCATCATATGCTCATCATGTTGTAGCAGAGCTGTTGACAACACGAAACTCATATTGTTATAATATGTAGTAGCTTTTTCAGTCTGCGAAAAATTGTTCTGCTACAACAAATATACAATACATAAAAGACCGCTATGCTTCCAAATGTTTAAACAGATGGGACTTCTCGCAATTTTTAAAAGCAATAATTAAAATAATCGATATATAAAGCAGTAAACAAAGAGCAGTCCCAGCAGTAGTACGATATCAATATGTAACTGGTATTGTTACGGTTATCGGCGACCATAGATAGAACCCGTTAGCGATGTGCCACTTAAAGTTCAGTTTTGAAGTATCAAGTGTGGAATGGTACCAAATCTGACTAAATGTGTATGATGATGACAAGAAAAGCAAGATGGGATGTTGACAAATTTTCGTCCGAAGCGGCGGTTTTTCGGCGTTCGCATAAATTTGTTTCGTGTTCTAACTTGCTCGCTTTCCTCGGGTGGCACTTTACACTCTTCAGTAGATGATCTGATTTTGCTTTTAAAATTTAATTATTACTGATTTGGAATGCTCATTTTAGTTGGCCGTGCGTCAGTGCGTCGTAGTCCTGTACAGTAATGTACCGCGAATATATATATATATATATATATATATATATATATATATATATATATATATATATATATATATATAAAAATGTGATACGTAGGTAGCACTGGTTACACCTGACAAGCGCAGATTTGAGATCTTTAGGAGATGGTGCTTTTCGACTTATAACGTATAACGCACAAAGATACCTGAAGGTTCTGCCTTGCTGACCTGCCTTGCTGACCACCTCAGATGTTACGAAAGCGAACATATCGTGCGATGGTAACACATGTAAATTGCATTTTTTAAAGTTATTTGAGTACAATATTTTTTTGTCAGTGTTATTTGTAACAGATTAACAGATCGCTAAAATATTTTTTGATATTAATACCAGTAAACTGGCCAGATTAAAGGAGTTTTATTTATCTAATTCGGCAATTCGCTTTACCGTCAGTGTGGACATAACCTTTCTGAATTGGACACAGCCATATGTATTCCCCTTGCTATACGCTGTAGTGCAGTGCCAATAGTTTGATTCGTTTGCACAGAAAATGAACATGTTTTTTTACTGTACTTTCACATCCAGTTATTTAGAATTATTTCCACTTATTTTTTGATCGATAGACCCGTAATGCTGCGTGGACTGCAGATACTTGCAAACGATTTTCGGGTGTTTAATTTCTGTTTTTCTTATGATGGATGGTGCGCTTTAAAATTCAGCCCTGGACTATTATCAAGATTCAGATCTATATTGCCACGAATGGGATACACCAGAGCCGGCAAACCAGAAAAGACTGACCAAAACCAATATTATATTCTGAAAGCCCGTAGTCGAAAACCCGGCCAGATAGTATTAATTTTTTTTAAAAGCTCTCCCGCTTCGAGCGCCACAGCGGAAGAATTTTGACTACCTTCACCAAATGTAACTAAATTATTATAACAATAACTATCATCGTGGCATTTTTAACCAGGCAATGTTGCCACGTAAACCAAATAAAATATAGTTAAAAAATGAAAGTATTTTCCACTAATTAAAATATCAGAATCAGTTTAATTAGCAGACCGTTGGCGTTATTGCGACAAGAACGACTACATATCCAACGTTGTCGTCCAGGACAATTTCTAAAAAAGTGCCTGCCAAGCAGCGATAGACAGAACTACCGCCACTGTTCAGTGCACAAGCCCGTTAGTTGACCGAAATACCACTACATTCTGGTTAAAATAGCCCGCTAAGCCAGTGAGTGACCGAACTGCCACTATGGATAGCTATGTGAGCGGTTAACCGAGCTGTCATTACTGTCCGATGCCGAGTGACCGAGCTGTCACTACTTTTCAGTGTACAAAGCCCGTTAGGGAACGAGTGACCGAGTTACCACTACGGCCCGGTGCCCAGAGTCCAGTAGGAGAGCGGGTGATCGCGCTGTCACTAATGTCCGGCGCAGAAAGTCCGTTAGCGCAGCGGGTGACCGGGTTACCAATGCTGTCCGGCGCAAAATGCCCGTTCGGTGAAGGAGTGCTGAGCTGCCACTACTGTCCGTGCACAGATCCCGGAAATTGAGCGGTGTACTACTGCACTACTGTCCAGTGTACAAAGTCTGTTAGGTGAGCGGGTGACCGAGCTACCACATCTGTCCGGCGCAAAAAGCCCGGGTGGTGAGCGTGTCACCGAGCTGTCACTACTGTCCAGTGTACAAAGTCTGTTAGGTGAGCGGGTGACCGAGCTACCACATCTGTCCGGCGCAAAAAGCCCGGGAGGTGAGCGTGTCACCGAGCTGTCACTACTGTCCAGCTCACCTAACGGACTTTGTACACAAAGTCCGTTAGGTGAGCGGGTGACCGAGCTGACACTGCTGTCCAGTGTACAAAGCAGGTTAGGGAACCAGTGACCGAGTTACCACTACTGCCCGGTGCAGAGACCCCGGTAGGTGAACGAGTGACCAAGCTGTCATTATTGTACAGTGTACATGAGTGACCGAGCTACCACTACTGTCCGGCGAACGGAACCGGTTAGCTAAGCAAGTAATCGAGCCACCACATTTGACCGGACATACAGTACACCACTGCGCACATACCAACTTCCAGTGAAAAGAGCCAGTGAAGTAAGGAGTTACCGAACTAGTGATCCAGTGCACTATCACTGTTTCGAATTTCACACCTTATAGACTGATATTTCGGCTTTCTTTTCGGGTAGGGGATATCGTAGAATTATCTGTATGTACAGCGGAAGGGAATGCTTTAAAGGTTGAGAGAATCATGAACTGATTTTCATAGAAAATTCATGTTTGCCCAATTGCATGTACCGATCATGTTTCGAACAGACTGATGTTAATCTAATAAATATTCATTCAAATTCAAATAAAATGGCCATGGACCACAAGAAACGCGGAGGCGAAGCCGAGGCTGTTTCTTGTATACATATATGTTAGTGCTGCTTATAGATTATGCCAGGATATTATAATTGTTCGAACTTTGCATTTACCTACGTATCTGCAGACTGTAGGTAATTACGTGCTGAGGTGCTTCAATTGAAAAGAGTCATTCAGTCGTTTATGGGCAGCAAAATTTTAATTTTAATTTACAGAACAGAACAAAGATACATAACAGCAGCTTAAAGCTAGCGCTAGGTTGGCTGGCAGATTAGACAAGCCTAAAATAGAAAAAAGCTTAAAATTTGCAAATATCATCGCCTAATTGTTACTCCAAATTTTCCGGCTGTATTTGTTTGTATTTTGGCACCATCGAAGATTAAGAAACATAAGAATACTTGAAGAAGACTAAAAAACTTAACAAAACCTTAGATCTGTTATTATGTCATGCTTTTTCTTCTTCATTTATGAAGCTTGCTGCCTTGGACCGGGTAGGAGCCCAGATTGTGTGCGGACGTAAAAACATGTTAACCTTTATTAATTAAACTTCTTAATTAATTAGAATGTTTTTATTAAAATGTTAGTGAACCGAGATATTCTTTTCCTTAGGACGATTCTAGTCATTGTGCTATTCTCTTTTTAATTTCTTCATTATAGCAGCACACCAGATAGCAAACCGTACTTGCCTCTGCTGATTTACTCGTAAATACATATTTAGGTGAGTGTTTTTTATCATTAAGAAAAGCAGGACCATTAAGCGGTTACAACCAAATAAAACCTTACAGACAGATTAGTCACTGTCCGTGCACTTTGCGAAGCAAAGTTCGAATAAGTACTGTAATGTAAATTTTACCGTTGCGGTGACGCAGTGCATGTGGCTACGTACGGTGGGCAATCGAAAAAGAAATAAGTACACCTTAATCGTAACCTTAATAAATGCTTTTAATGTGCAAACTTATTAACTTTGCAGTCACTGATTGTACTCGTAATATGTAATTTTGATAGTAAACATGAAGTCACTCGGTTCGATATGACAGTACAGCTCATCCCGATTTACGATGGAGATAGATTCTTTCCAAAGGTTCCGCTCGGCCGTAAGACGGATGAATAAAGCTATAAATTGATTTTTTATGATGCAGATTAGTCTGCATCATAAAGATAGACTGAATCATAGCGGAATTTTGTCTTCTCTTATGTACATTTGCAGTAAATGCTTGAATCATCTAAGCAGACGAGTACTCGTACAACATTAACCCAGAATTCTCTGAATCCCATCCTTTTTTGCGGATGTATACCGCTAAGCCAGCAGACATAACAGTGACGCGTACGGTATGTGGAAGTTGTATGCAAATTCATTCATAAAATATTGATTTATATAGGGTCCTTTCAGGAAATAGCACGAAAGTTCCACATGACCGGCTTCCTAAAACGCGGATGATATCACACATACGCGCACGTTAACCGCGTCATTATGGGACATTGCTTTACATTTTCTGTGTGCTAATCAAACATTTCGACAGAGGGGAGAGACGGGTACTAACGCGATTAATGAAAATGCAATTTGTTTACCTTTGCAGTATCGTATCGCTTCCTAGTGCGGCACACACTGGTGAAGTGGTCCTTCCAAGTACGGCGACGATGGGCTGGCGTCGGCGTGTGTACGGGTGCGGTACGCTGCTTCCGCACTGTGCTTTACAATACTGGCCTATGTTGGGAACCGTTAATAACCTTCGTACGCAATTCCATAAAGCAGCACCGCCGGCTAGAGCCCTGCACGAGCAGCAAAAGTGCTGCTCAACTCGCTCGTTTCTGCTTTTTTAAACTTCCTGCTCGCTCAGCTCGCTCGCGCCCAAACCACCGCTCGCTCAACTCGCTCGTTTTCCAATTTTTATTTGCTTCTGCTCGCTCAACTCGCTCGTAATTTTATTTTGGTAAATCGGCTCGCTCGTAAGATCGGCAAAAATTTACGTATCAATTTTTTTGCACGAATTAATTATACCAAACTTTTCACCAACACAAAACTCAGTACATAACTAACATAAGTGTAATTGGATGTTCAGAGACAATCACTTATATCTCCATACTGGTAGTCCGTATCATTAGCTTTTCATTTTTTTGCTAATCCATTTCTCTAATTTTCAACTGGATGTAGTTTTCTTAATTTGGCCTGAAATAAATACGTATAATAGAATGCTCAAAAATTAAAATGCACCTTTCTTAGGAATCATTCAACTGATTCATAAACCCGTCAAATAATGTTTTTGTTGGCTACGAGTACAAAATATCAAAATTTAGTCGTGCGTCCCAACCGGTCTAGGAAAGTTAGTAAATAAATCAATTCGCGCGAAGCGCGAGGTGACGGTGGTTTAAGATCGTTTTCAGGTCGGTCAATGTAATTTTGTACTAGAAACTTCTCCAGTTCGCACAATGTCAGCCTGTAGGCTCGCGATCGCTCGCACCCGACCATCCCGCTCGCTCGGCTCGCTCGCAATTTTTTTCTATTGCTCAGCTCGTTCGCAAATTCGCAAAACGACGCCTGCTCGCTCGAAGTGCTCGCGAGCGCCGAGCGCTCGTGAGCCGAGCCGAGCAGCTCGGCTCGTGCAGGGCTCTACCGCCGGCCGACGCCATAGTACTGCTGAGTCATGGATTGTGTAATAGGCAGTGGCTTTTGCGAAATGCACGCCGAACGCCGCAATCCAGTATAAAAGGCGGGTCTGTCTTGTTGGCAAACCAGTCAGTCTCCCAAAGTGATCTCTCGTGACACAGTTCTGCTAGATCTGCTAATCGGTCTTCTTCTGCCATTATTTTGATACTTGAGTTTTGTTCCTTTCTTTAACCATGGATCTCGATGAACGTTGGGGCATCTTTTTCTAAGTGATACTACACCAATCGCTCCTTCGTTCGAATTTACTGCTGTTTAGTCTGACTTAACGATCTGAAGATGCCGATCGATCAAGAGATGTGGGGGATTTTTTTCTGAAGTTTTCACCTCCGTAAAACCAATCCGATAGAAATGGACCTTGAAGAGAAGTGGGGGATTTTCTTTTAACCTATTCCTATAGTTACCGCACCGGAACCATGCCGCATTCCGGAATCTACATAACCCTGACCAACCCCGGGCGGCCGTCGGGTCATCAGGCCGGAATAACACCACCCGGCCAATTCCCTTATTGCGAACCAGCAGCGACACCGGCATTTTTATACTAGGTAAGAGTCGTTATAATCCTAAATTACGCTGCCATAATTCTTAGAAAACATAATTAACCTACCGAGAATTTACTGTAGAAATGGCGCTAATGACAGTTGTTCTGCAGGTGTGCTTATGAATGACGACGTCATTTCCGACCTTTCCGCTTTTACATTCGACGATCATGCTGCCAGCCACCAACACCGGCAAACCGCACTACTGCGATCTGACCTTTGCTTTACCAAGCAAGATTTGATCGGAGTAGTCGGAAGCGGACCACCACCTGAAAGCCATGCAGCGGCGTGATAATGCCATCCGATTCACCTTCGCTCACTTTAGCCTTGATCTGATAATTATTCGCCGGTTGGTACAAAGCCGAAATTCCTGGTGATGGGCCCGCTATTGCCAAGGAAGATTCCTCGGCTTGACTGACCACTTTTGTTGCCAAAGTCAGTGTATTGTGTACTGTGTGTAACCCTTTGTTGAGCCGGTACAATAGATATGCCACAAGCTAAACCAAAACGCACTAACCGCTGCTGTTGGTACTACGCTTAATTTATTTTGCTCTGCTGGTTTTATATACTGGATGGCCGACGTTTATTTAAGTTGCAATAGTCATTGTTTTTTCTGGTTCAGCCATTCTGATGCGATATGCGGCAATAAAAGAAACCCGTTAGATTAGCTAATTTCTGGGGAATTTCATCTGTACCATAGAAGAATATGACAAAGGTGAAAAACAAAAAAGCACAAAACAAAAAAGCAGATGGCTTGTCCAACAATAAAAGTATTAAACCTATTCTTCTGAACTTAATTTGACAGCAAAAACACACACTTTATAATATCATCAGTCAGACAAAAGTCTGAATGTTACATAATTCACACGATACCGGCATACGGCCGGGCCGATTACTTAACTTTGTAGGACAAACTAAGGCGGGTCTAAGAACACAATCAGAGGAACCCAGCATTATGCTCGTAGTAAAGTAAACAGTACAAAACATGCCGGCAGCCAAGCAATATTCGCAGTCAATAATTTGGGATGCTAGAGGTCATCAAAAGTTTTTTAACAGTTTTTACCACTTATCAGTTATGTGAAGGGTCACTCATTCCATCGAAAAAATTTTATTTTTTCGTTAAGTACCAAAATTACCAAAACCGTTACTAAAATTAGAAATAATTTTACATTTTTATTAGCCATACGAAAAAATTTGAGAACTTTTTCACAGACGAGATTTCCCTTTAAAACACTCCAGCGTCAGCAAATGTCGGCCATAAATGGATGTCCCGGCGCAGCGTCAACCTACCATAGTTTAGTCACCACAGGCCTCCAGCAGGGCAAAAAATCTAATGAATTCAATAACACCTGAATTATCGGCCATGAATGAGTAAACTTCCAGTCTGAGGTGATACTTATTCTATTACTTCGCCCCGTCGCAATGCAATTTCGAACTATTCGAATGACCTACAAAACACAGGGCTTTGACCGTCAGCACGCGTTTACCATGCAGGAATAGTCGCGGTTCACGGGGGCGACCGATGCTCGAAGAATCCTTCTTCGGGCGGATATTGTCACCGCATTTTAGTCATCGTGACGTAAATTCTTCGCTCTATCGGCCGAACATTTACCATCTGCCGACAAGAATGCTGTCTAGACAGCTTCGACTCTAGCCACGCTTGGAATGTCCTCTACTTGTCCTAAAGTAGGAACGATAGTACCGGTACCGGCAAGACCACAGCGGACAAAAATCAAATTACAAGTTGTTAATAATAACAGTTCAGATCGTGCACTGATCGGTTTGAGCCAACTTGCTGATGCTGCATTGCCTTCAACATTCTTAAGCAAAATTATAAACCCTGAATAGCGGTCCAATTTCAAACCCGAAAATTTTCAATATCAGGCAAACTAAATACAACAATCATAGAGTACCAAGATCAAGCCAAGCAGGAACTATGAGAGAAGACCAACCGCGAAGCTAATTCGTGTTTTTTTTTTGCAAAAAAGCATTGACACGCGCTCGGACGGCATCCAAATTGTTCGACGGTCGCGAGCTGGGACTGTTTTCATCGGAAACCTATAGCACATGTTCGGAAACAGCAAGTTGTAAAACAAACGCAACCCCAATCGCCCATACCTTCAACGGACGCGAAGGACTTAGCACATTAGCCGGCATCTGCGAAGCAGTGGAGGATGATTCAGCGTTTATCATATTAATGTCAGCTTCTCTGAGAGCGGTCTGGACGCGTTCTTCTACTGTTTCGAAGCAGCGATTTCGAACTTGCAGTTTTAGCTCTTCTGCAGTCTGTCGAATGTTTTCCACGTCCTGAGCTGTCATATAAGGGGATGATAACGCGCCCCGGAAGCGATTGATGACCCCTTGACCTTTCTCAGATAGTCCGCTACCAGGTAGTCCTAAGGCTGAACCAAGAAGCTTTTGTAAGTGATATCGTTTATCTACATTTAGCCTGCCATATCAATTTAACGGCCGCAATTGCTAACTAAATATTTTTACTGACAATCCTCGGACTGTAATTCGTTAAAGAGAGTATTCAGTTTCCTGCTGGCTTTTTATTCTTCCGATTCAACATCTCTAAGATCCAACTCATCTACCTTTCTCTTCGAACTCAATCATCCGCAAACCATCGTGAACAAACTTCTGAAATTCTGCCGATGTCCGTTCCAAAAATCCATCCAAGCTGATTTTATGTGCTTCTTTGTACTCATACAGTTCTCGCAGGCCCTGAGAGCAAACACATAAGCATCAGTGTTCACATCTTTAATAAAATTTATACAATGATTCAGCACACAACTGCAAAGGATCGAACAAATATGTCATGTGGGCTTAACGCTACCCAAGACAAGACTTACGAGCAGAACACAAAATAAAAAATATAAAAAACGCAGCCACCATAGTCAGGAAAATTACTAGAATAAAAATTCATCAACAACGAACATACGAGGAAAGCGTTAAGCGACATAGCCACTGACGAAATTACTCGAGATCCCCTTCAAAAACTGATGGGCGTCGCAGAATGACAGCTATCTGAACTTCTTCACGGCACGAACCTGCTGAACTGTTTCATTGTTCGACGATCCCACTCGTTCCATAATATTCGACAACTTATCTTCATGCACTTTTATCCCGTTTCCATTGGCCATCTGAAAAACAAACCAGATTAACGAATACAACAATCACGTAAATGTACAAAAATCAAACGAATAAAGCCTAACACAGTGTACGCACAGGAATGCCATTGGGAACGTTTCCATCACCAGTTACAGGGTTCCCGGCACTTCTCTCAACCGAATTCAGAACCCGCTTGAGAAAGCTCACCAGCTCGGAGTTTTGGGGATCATCCACCAATTTTAAGTGGTCAAGAACCTACCAAAGCGAATAATAACATATTTATTTATCTATTTCCGGTCATACCAAAGTCTAATATTCAAAACGCATACTTTTGTTCCAAACATCTTGGTCAACGAGTACACAATGGTCTTTATACTGCGGAATGGGGTATCATTGCTCGCTGTCTGCCAATGGCTGGTTGGAAACTGTTTCAAGAACAGATGAACTTCGAGCAGAACAGGGTCAAGTTCAAGCTGTAGCATCGTATCAGGCATTCTCCGCACACACCGCCAGACAACCTGTGGGGAAAGACTAATACTTGGTAATCAGCACTCGCTTCAGATTTGTAGTGCAGATTGCAGATATGTCTGCTCAGAAGTCATAACCTTGATGCCAACGTCCAAAATTTTATCCGTTAGCATGCCGCTTCCAAGGAGATCTCGTAGAAGGCGGATGGAGGCGCTACAAATATTTCAAAAACAATACTGACGAGATAGCCAGGCATAATTCATATTTCGAGTACATTGTAGATGGGATGTGTCTGAGCAAATTCATAGGACCACGACTTTAAAAACCAAATCTGAAGTTCTACTGAAAAAGCACTTATAAACTTACCACAAAATCTGCGTCCGATTAGCATTGTCAACAATCCGTAAAACGATGACATTAGCCAAACTGACAATCGCTTGACCACCTTTCATCCTCTCCATTCGTTTGTCCAAGAGCACAGGCAGGATCTGATAGAGAAAAGCTGACAAAATTCCAGCATCAGCCAAATCAGCGTATTTCTGATTTTCAAAAATCTGAAACGATAATATTCCAATAACATGGCAGAGCTCTAAGTCAAATCTACAATGATGCAACGCACAGCTCGAATGATATGGAAGATGTGAGTGTAACATGATGTAATGTAGTCCGCATTTGTAGCATAATTCGACATGGCGTGATTATGCATTCTGGTCAGCAAATCTATGAGATTGCGATGTAGTCCTAGGATGTTATCGGCGATCATTGGATCGCTGGGGTTCTTGTGTAAGATGTCGTCGATCTTTTTCAAAGCAGCTAATGATTTTTCCGCGTTATTTCCCATCATGTCGGAAAATAGGGTTGACATGCTTCCGCCGGTCGTCTTTCGTGCGCCCAACATGCTTTCCCTAAATCAACCCAATTTCCAATGCCACGAAGTCCAAAAATCGCAAGCAACTCATTTCGCACCGACAAGGGCGAAAAAATCCCAAAACTCTTTTCAGTACTACTTGCTGCAGTAGGCATCTACTTTGAAACAACTCTATCAATATGCAAAAATTTGCCTCATAAACCAAATATATTATCAGAAAATTCAAATCAGTAAAAAGGTTAACTCCAATGCACTGCAGCGGCAAACACCGTATACTAGTATATAACTCTAGCAGCAGTAGAGAAACTAGAACACTCCAGCCGGTCAGAAACGTCACTATGAAGTATGTACGTTTTGTTGCACTTTGCCACAGAAACCTTCGTTTATTAAAGGATATTATACAACCCAGTCTGGAAACTGATTGGTAAGGATATGCTGTTTCATCAGAGTGCAAACAGAAAAAGTTAAATAAGCCAGCACTTCTCATACAATCCCTACAGTAACAACAAAAGAGCCAAAATTTTTATGCGAAACTGAAATACCATAATATAGCAATGTGTTACTATAAATGAAGCGAATCGGCAGATTTTGGCAAGAACAATTTCTTAGAGGAATAACTGATTTTTATAAAGTACTGTTTTCTGTACTCACGATGGCGCTGGAATGGAAATACTGGATGTGGCCACTTTAATTGACGCTTCGGATATCGGTTTCAGTTGTAGCGGGGACGTCCGGCGCAAGGTAACAGTGGACGGTCGGTCTGAGTCAAGTTTTTCAGGAGACGTTGTGAGCTTGCTTTCGGAACCAGATGCCTTAACGGAAGCAGTACCTGGAGACGTGACTGACATACGAGGATCATCCTGCATACCATCGGAGTAAGCGTCATCGGCCAGGGTTGCGGCAACTGGCATACTCTGCGTCTTTGTCATTCGCGGTTCCGTTCTGGATTCAACTCTGTCAACTGATTCCGTTTTTTGCGGCGGTAGCTTTTTTGGAGCCCGCTTGATGCGTTCGTCCAACATACTCCGATCTTTCTCATTTATCTACATTAAAAGAAACTCACAGTAATCATCTTTTCCGAAATATAATCCTTAAATTAAATGAAGTCGGTTTTAACGGACAGAGATAAGGCGAAATAAATTCGACTAACGAACAAGTCTTCGATACAACTGAGAAATTTTTAAAGCCAAAAAACTGCCAACTAAAATATTTGACTTATAGGTTTCGCTCCTCCCGCAAGTATAAAACAAGCCGACCACACCCATCAGTAATCAGGCGGTATCTAGAATCCCAAATCAAATTTTCACCTGGCCAATTAGTTTGAAAATTTTTTCCCCGACAAGTTGGTAGACGACCAGGAGGTTATTTAATGCCGCGTTGCGAACAGCTGCGTCTTTATCCCCAATCAGCGAAGCCACGAGTTTCAAAGCAGCTTGATGGCTGGGTACATTCGGACCATGCACATCCATTCCATCTGCCTCCACCAATGTCGTGGCAAGATCGACGCATTCTGTGAACAACGCGTGCCACTGACAACATACACTTTATGCTTCATTTCACTTCAAATGAATTATAGTTTTTGCTAAAAACGTTTCATATGCATGATTTTCCAGAATAGCCGAATCCGAAATGTAAAAGCTACAAGTTGTATCTTAGGTTTCGAAACAAAACGTAGCTATATCATTTTCATTTGGCAGCAGCCTGCACTCGATGACAAGAAGCCTGCGCAAATTTAAACTAATTAAAATGATTGAATTTTAAACACTGAAAAAACAGCTATATTAAACTATCTATTAAACTATTAAACTACGTAGCTATATTAAACTATCACTGGCAAATCCCTCTAAGTGTGCAGTGGACCTCATACCAGATCTCTGTCGAGCATTCTTAGACTTCATGCCGTCGGCAAGGTAAGCATATATTTTAGGATACGGATAAAGGCCACAAAGCTGTCGGACAACTGCCCGGACCTTTTCTCGAATTGGCTCCTTCGGTTCTCCACTCTGCAAACGTTGCAGAAAGTGAATAAGAAAAGAAAAGCTTGCCCAAGTGCACCATCGTACCTTCAGCAGCAAATAGGGAATGAAACTACTGGCTTCGAAATCCGAAAGCTTGTAATCTTGCTCTGCCAGTTTTCGAAACAGTGAAATAAGATAATCCATAGCTTTCATCAGTACAGTGGGATTTGTATCGAAGAATCTCAGACTAAACCACTTCAGGATCAAATCCAGAACAGATAAAGTATTTTCAGTCCCCAAATTCAAATCCTAAATTCAAAACAAACAAAAACATTACAAAAACCCGAAGTGACCGTTTTTTAAAGCAGGGGTCAATATTCAGGAGCTGTTGACATTTGGCAACAAATATAGAAGTACCAGTCCTAGAAAAAACGGCGTAAAAGCTTTATTATGGTATTTTTCCCTTACAGCTTGCAGCGCATCGATAGCCTTAATATGGTTCTTGAAATCGTCACTAAACAGCCATTTCTGCAAATTAGGACTGAAGCAGGGAACCATTTGGTCCATCAACTGCTGAATTAGCTCTTTCGATGGTGCAGTGAAACTCCATTTTAGAACCTGTTAAATACATGCCTTAAGCAGGTTACAGTTTGAAAAGTCTTCCGGGGAATGAACTCGAGACGTACCTTCAGAACCTTTTCATCGTTGCTACGTTGCTGCTTTCCTTTTGGGTTCAAAATTATGACGGGACCAGTTTCCTCCTCTTTCAGGGCAGCTTTCGGTTTTGCAGCCGGTACCGCCTAGGAACAAAAACAAAATACACACTAAAAAATAAAACACTCAGTAAAAACCAAAGCTGATCTTCGCGTAATCCAACCGTGATACTCCAAACTCAGAATGATCTAATCTTCCATTTACTCCTAGACCCTTGCCTTATAAGGTGTAGGCTGCAGCCGCTGCACTATAACCGGCTTATTGTTAATACCTTTTTAACGGCTACCGCCTTTCCTTTAGCGGCGGCGGACGCTTGACTACTCTGCGATCCCACACTGTCGCCTCCGCCCTTAACGTCAACAGCTTCGTTTATTTCTGGATCGCTGGAAGCAGGTTTTGGTGCGGCAGCGGATTTCGAAGGCCCAGGGCGAACCACTTTCTTTACCGCTGCACCAGATTTCGCGCTAGTCTGTAGATAAGTAAAAAATTTAGTTGCAACATAATATACAGCCGGGTCGATTTGAACGAAATTAACTTCAGTTTAATCAAGCATACTTCTGTTTTGTTCGCAGGGGGTGCATTCGTTTTGGCTGGAGCAGCTACCGGTTTCTTTCGCTTGGGTGCAGTTATCACGGCTTTTTCACAGAATTCTTGTATCTAACGCAGACCAAATTCAACCTTACGTGCATACGCTCCAACCTTGATCCGTTGTGTTCTCATACTGCAAAATTTCTTACCTTCTTCATTTTCAGTTCATCGATGCCATCCGTAAGAAAAGGAGTGATAGCTTTCTCTCCCACAACTTTCATCGCAGTACCAAGCGCTTCAAATGCGGAATCGCGTACTGACTGGTCCGGATCGTTAGAATTCTACAAAATCACAAGTAATAATGTGCAACTTGCGTATTTGCTCATAGAAGGTGCACTTTTTCTTCAATAATTATCGACCGCTACCTTTATAAGAGCTTCCACAAAAATTTTAAGCTGCTTTTTCGGCAGATCTTCCGGGTGAAATTTACAGAAACAGCGTGTTAGGAACGTCGTGGTTTCGGATTTCACACTAGGGGTTTTGTGGCTTAAATCTTCTAGGATGGTTTCCGCTATGACATCCAATGTAGTCTAAAGGTATGCAATGCATTCAATATCTGTATTACATGAAATTTCCGACATTTCTTCTCTATCTAAATCATTACCGAAAGGAAACAGGCATCCACAGCGTCCCGCATGGCAGTAACAACATTGCTCTTTTTTTCTTTAAATTTCTCCAGAATAACAGAAATGCACTAAAAAAGAAACACTTTCAATTGCACACAATTTTCAAAACAGAGATTACAAGTTTTACAACAGCGCACAGACTTAATTAACTACTCTAGAAGACACACAAGTCACACCTCAGTTACAGCAAGTTAGAAGACTCATGTCAGAACGTACCGTACATGCTAACAAATGTTCACAAAGTACGTCTTTGCCGCGATGACAAAATTAATTAAATTGAATACAGTAATTGTATGATGACATTGTATCATTCGAAACCTACGCGGTTAGTAAAATGCATTCAGGTGCGACTATACTATGAAAGATTCGTAACATGCAACGCTTCCGAAATAACTGAAATAGATCTTCGATTTTCACAAAATCATTCATTACCTACAGAAGATTTCTTACCGAGGGAGAATACGGAGAAAATTTTTGCTGCAATCCTTTACCCAGGTTAGCAATGCATTTCCCCGCAACAGCGACCACGGAAACGTTCGAATCCTTTCCAATTATCTGCCATAAAATTTGCCATTCACATTCCGGTAAGTGTATCAAATAATCGATTATGTATAAAACTATCTACCTTTTTTAATTCGGACACAACTGGTCCATAGTCCCCTTCCGCTAATTTGGGATGAGTCGACAACTTATCGAATGCGTCAAGCGCTTCTTTTCTTTCCTGCCATTTTTTAGACTGCAGTTTGGTATCGAAATCTTCCGGTAAACTTTTCAGTACTTCCTGAGGATCGACGTTATCTAATTTGTTTTCCTCTGCCGCAGCTTCGGTCTCTTCTTCCGCTTCTACATCGAAAAAAGTCCAGGTTACTGTGTATTAACCACTCCGAAGTCCAGAACGAAAATGCAGTAGATAAAACGTAATAGAGCAAAAAAGGCGGCACATATACTGTAAGCAGATCGCCTTAACCAAGTTTCCCTCGAACTCGACGAAGAAGCCTTACCAGTGGGCGCTGAACTAGCATCAGTCTCCGCAGGAGCCGCTGCCTTCTTTGCCTGTTCGGAGCGGACCAGTTTCTCCGGCACCGCTTTCACACCTTTGTTCTTTCCGAACTCTGCATCCAGTTCGTTCATCTGGACAGGACGAATATTGTTAGACATGTCACATGTGTGATGTGCATATCATATGGCAAATCTGTAACGGTTCAAGTACCTGTTGTGGGCTGACGCCTTGCAACTGCGGCTTTAAAGCCTCACCGATCCAACGATATATTTCTACCAACAAAACGCGCGTCTCCTCTCGAACAGATTTGTCACGATCCTCCAAAAACGGTGGTATGTTTTTTATTATGGTTTTCAAGGTCACGATCTTGGGTCCATATAACCTTAATCAACAATAAATATGTTTTACCTACTAGGCAGCACTGCAAATATTGTTGCATCCCACGCACAAAACGTTTATTTTCCGACCTACTTTAATGCGTCCCGGATCACAGTCATACAACCGGAAACCACTTTGGGCGACTTGTTTGACAAACCTTTGATCAGCTCCTCCTGCAAAGATAAGCCGTCAATCAATTGCATATTCTACAAATCGATATCCATAATCCAGTAATCCATTTACCAAAGTAGGCTCCTGTTTCTCCAGTTCGAAATACAGGAAAATAATTTCGATGCCTTTTTCTTTCGTTTTTGGTCGCGCTGGTAAACATTTCGCCACGATCCCGGCCACAACGTCTGCACAGATCCTGAAATGAAGACATGGAGATCTCAGATCTGCCACTGCTGCTTAACTAACCAACCGTCATTACTACTCTAGTAATATGCCGTTTTATGAATTGTGTGCTCTTGCAAATTTAAAGATCTGAAGATTTCACGATACCGGGAGACTTCAGAATCAAATCGCATTCACTGAATCGCTTCTGGTACGGTTTAATAATGAATTATTTTTAACTTTAACCACTGAGCACTACATTAAGTGACGTTCAGCATTGCTGGAAATTTGACAGTACGCCTGCAGCTCCTACGGATACAGTCGATACACATACACCAGACAGTTCGAAAGAAGACCAGACTTCAACCCATTGCGCACATCCACATTTTGATGGAAAGAAAAAAACTAAAAGTGTGAATTTACAACTTTAGCACCTAAAAGCAACCAGCATTGCAACCCGTCTTAATCGTATATCCAATACTTACTTTCCTACCATACTGGAAGGGGCCAGATCAATAAAAGTACGGGCTGCATCAAGTCCCCTCTCATGTGCAGAAGGATTTGAGTCCTGCACAAAGTTTTTGACATTCGGGGCTGTTTGTTTAAAGATGGCATCTTCTGGTTCATGCTGTCCCAGTTCCTTGATCAGCTTGTCGAATCCAGTCACTCTGGCTTTCCAGTTCTAGATAGGAGATATATTAAAATTAATGGTGTTACTGTTACACATTACTCATGGCTGAATCTGTAATATTCATTTTCAATTTCACAAGCTGATAAGCAGCACAACACCAATGGTAAACACTAAGCATGCTGTCTGATTCCACACACTTTATGCTTAATGAGATCGTCAATATCGAGCTTGGAGAAGTCCTGCTGCTCTTCTTCTGCCATATTTCCTGCTCTGGACGATGCAGCTCGCGATATCAGGGATTACATCCAGTCGAAACCATTGAGGCTGTCCTATCAAGCAAGAGTCTGGAAGACCTAGAAGGCTAGAATCGATATTTTAAAATATGAAAACGGTAACCGATAGACGTATGCTTTTTGCCAGTATCAAATTGGTCAACTCTCGACACGGAAAAAATGTAACATTAACAGTAACACCTTTGATTTTCTCCAGTAAATGTTAATGCAACCTAAACAGTCCCAGAAGAAACAACATCCAGAAGGAAGAAAACACAACGCCAAACGTCACGGTTTCAAAAGCTCCTGAAGGAGGCGGGCTCAGATGAGTCAAACCTCATGGCATTCGAGGCAAGCACGGAGGCCACGGCTTTAGCACCACCTAGCGACACGCGCGGCTAACGGGAAAATTGCTCCTCGTAGACCTAACGGTATGTATAACGAAAGTAAGAACTTTTTAATCAAAGCGTCAGTACTTTTTTTATAAAATAATTCCGACGTTATGGTTTTTGCTAATTATATTTTCGCTAATTTAACCTAAAGTCGTGTTGTTATAAACTGATGATTGTTGTGCTTTTCATGTAAATAAAATATCTTACATATGCATATAATATTAATGCCCGTCACACCAGGAGCATTCAACCATGTTCTAAAAACGTAGTGCCGAGGTTTTTGTATAGAGGTTTCTCATGGTATTAAATTTTTATCTCGTTTTATTTAATATAAATATGACAATATTTGTTATTTCAAATTTTATTAATATTTTTAATAATTACATTAAAAAATATCATATTTATTATTAATTGAACGTTGTGTATGTAGCATATCCTGTAGTATGGGACGATCCTATGGGACGCCCAGGTACACCCTGTAGTATTCACTATTCAGTACAAATCTTTCACTTTTATAGGAAACGTGTGACTGTATCGTTTCGCCAGTAAAATGCTGATTACTGTACTTAAGAGGCATCTGGTATTAAATCACTTTGTAGTACACCTTGATGTACACCCTACAGTACAAGTTCCAGGCCCGCGCTGGCATTTTTTGGGTAGGGGGGGGGGGCGGAAGGCCGCCGGGGGGCGGCGTGGAGCCCAAAAATCGCCGGGGGGGCGGCCCAAATTTTGGAAATCCGCCCGGGGGCGGACTATTTTTAAAAAAAAATTTTAATAAAAAAATTTCAAAAAATTAGAAAAAAGCTTTAAAAAAGTGTACAAAATACGAAAGAATGATAATAAGTTTAAAAGAAACCTAAAAACTTGAAAAAAACGCAATTATTATTTTTAAAAAATTCGAAAAAATCAAAAATTATTAAAAATTTAAAGCGCCCCCCTGGCGGCTCGGCTGCGCCAAGTTTAAAAGTGCGCCCCCCCGGCGGCGCCAAACCGAGACTGGTGGGGGCGGCCGCCCCCACCGCCCCCCCTCCAACGCGGGCCTGAGTACAACCTGATGTAAAGCTTGTAAGTAGTACACTCTGTTGTACAATCTGTAGTGCCACCTGTCAAGAGAGGCTACTCGGTTTACTCGGTTGCTACACTAGTATCGGGAATTATCGAGTTCCTACCGGACATCTACTGTCGTGATGCTGCTGCAGAATGGCAACAAATAACCGAACATGACCTCCCACCCTTAGATGCGCGACCAGTACAGAAAGTATGGGACGATCCCTTAATTCATAACACCGCCGAACGGTTACGAACGTCAGCCGGTACTGATATCTCCGAACAGGCTCGGTTGCGAGGTGTGAGCACGAATGATAGTGGAGCATGGCTGGGAGCTCTTCCGGCTGCCTCTCTTGGCAACTTCCTTACGGACTCTGCTGTACGAATCGCCGTCGGTTTACGCCTTCGAGCACCGGTAATTACCCCACACCGCTGTGTTTGCGGCGAGTGGGCGGATGCCCATGGCTACCATGGCTTGGGCTGCAAGAACAGCCGCGGCCGAATCTCTACGCACAAGTGCCTGAACGCCATTGTGAAGCGCAGCCTCGCATCAGCCGGCTTCGAAAGCGAATTAGAACCACAAGGTATCTTCCCAACAGACAGCAAGCGCCCGGATGGCGTTTACCTTGACACCATAGAAGAGAGGGCGGATGCTGGCCTGGGACGCTACTTGCGTCAACACAATGGCTGTTTTGCACATCATAAAGACATTCGCAAGAGCGGGAGCAGCAGCAGCACCGGCCGAGCAGTACAAGATCGAGAAATATCGTGATATCGGTCAGCACTACGTGTTTCGTGCTCTTGGCTTTGAGACGCTCGGACCGCGCGGACCGGATGCTGCCCGCACGATAACGGAATTCGGCCAGATGATACGACAGGAATCCGGCGAAAAACAAGCCACGGAATATCTTCGCCAGCGAGTAAGCATCGAAATCCAACGAGGAAAAGCGGCATCAATCTTGGGAACAGCATCGATAGGGGTAAATTTAGACTAAATTTTCTCTGTGATTAGGCCGCCTTTGTCGATTGATGCTTAATGTGATCGTATTTGAAGTTACTGTGAAATCTTTCTGTAAACTGAGAGAGGCTACGAAAAAATTAATAGCTTCGAATTTCTCTATTTTGCCACTGTTTGCTTTTGTAAACCTGATTTGTGACAAATTTACATTTGCTTTTATCGTAATCAATAAAATTCTATTTTATTTTTGTTATTATGTACAGTAATGTTCAATTTCAAAAGCAGTGGAGTGAATTTTGTGACCCAATAAAAGTTATCAATAACTCCTCATTTACAAGAAAAGTGCGACGACAACCAGTCGGTAACAACACGAACAGGAGTAGTGAAATTCAGCGAAAACGTTATCAGCAGAAACAAAACGTAAAAATGATCTTTCATGAAAGGAAAAAGAAAACTGACACTGGGATTTAAAAAGGCTAAATGGCATGTAGGGTAACTAATGATATGGCTTTGCAATTTGGATTTGAATTGGAGGAAATTTCGTTGTTCTTTCGGCAATTGGGATTTGTTGGCTAAGGAGCTGCTCACTGGCTGCGGGTGGGGTTCGTTATAGCATAAGGCCTACGAGGAGCAGTTTTCCGGAGCGGACTGACACCAGTTGGCAGTCGGTTAAACTAGAATAATTACAAAGACTAGTCTTTGTACACTATTTAGTTTACGGCTTGTTTTCGTCAAGTCTATGGAAAGTCTGTAACCAAAATGTTACACGATTCTGATTCACACATTTTAGGGGGGTGAGCACAGGCATCAAGTTACACAAGGGCCGTCGTTAGACCCCTATCCAGTTTTCAAAACACTACTCCTCCTACAGTTTTCATCCGATAATTTTTCTGAATACACCATTGAACTCAGCGTACAATTCTGAACAAGATGATTGAGGCCGATTTTTGAAATTCGAACTTCCCCATAACGGCCATATGCGTTCAATTCGGCCAACGTTCTATTCGAAAGCTATGCCGATGCTCACTTCTGTTAAATGCCAGCACTCATTTCGGCCACCGTTAGTTGCCGCTTCTACATTGCATTTTTCATACGATTTATACGTTTCCTACCCCTAGATTCTTTGGTTATTTCCCTACCCTAGGTTCCTAGGTGTCTTCAGCTTTTTTGGATTTTATCAGTTCCTAGATACGTTCGGATCGTTTGACTTCTTAAAGAAAAACCTTAACCTAAAATAATCTAAGTCACCTAAGCCAACAAATAAACTTCAAACGTAAAATAACATAAGAACAACATAAGAAAACAAATGAAAAATAAGTTACCTAATAGATCTAAGAATACCCAAGATAACCTAAGGAACCTTAAAAAAACGGCGTAAGAAACCTAAGAAACCTAAGAAACCGAAGAAACATAAAAAAATAAGAACAATAACCTAAGAAACATAAGAAAACCAAAGAAACCTAAAGAAACCTAAGAAACCGAAAAAACGTAAAAAATATAAGGAAAATAACCTGAGAAACCTAAGAAACCTAAGAAACCTAAGAAACCTAAGAAACCTAAGAAACCTAAAAAACCTAAGAAAACCTAAGAAAAACCTAAGAAACCTAAGATACCTAAGAAACCTAAGAAACCTAAGAAAACCTAAGAAAACCTAAGAAACCTAAAGAAACCTAAGAAACCGAAGAAACATAAAAAATATAAGGAAAATAACCTGAGAAACCTAAGAAATCCAAGAATTCTAAGAAACCTTAAAAAATCAAAGAATAACCTAACAATAATCTACAAAAGCTGAGAATAACCTAAGATAATAAGAAAAAACCTAAGAAACCTAAGAGAACCTATGAAAAATAAGTTACCTAATAAATCTAGGATTACCAAGATAACCTAAGGAACCTAAAAAAACAAAGCGTAAGCAACCTAAGAAAACCTAAGAAATCAAAGAATAACCTAACAATAATCTACGAAACCTAAAAAACCTAAGAATAACCTAAGAAACCTAAGAAACCTAAGAAACCTAAAGAAACTTAAGAAACCGAAGAAACCTAAAGAAACCTAAGAAACCGAAGAAACATAAAAAATATAAGGAAAATAACCTGAGAAACCTAAGAAATCCAAGAATTCTAAGAAACCTTAAAAAATCGAAGAATAACCTAACAATAATTTAAAAAAGCTGAGAATAACCTAAGATAATAAGAAGAAACCTAAGAAAACCTATGAAAAATAAGTTACCTAATAAATCTAAGATTACCAAGATAACCTAAGGAACCTAAAAAACAAAGCGTAAGCAACCTAAGAAAACCTAAGAAATCAAAGAATAACCTAACAATAATCTACGAAACCTAAAAAACCTAAGAATAACCTAAGAAACCTAAGAAACCGAAGAAACATAAAAAATATAAGGAAAATAACCTGAGAAACCTAAGAACCTAAGAAACCTAAGAAAACCTAAGAAACCTAAGAAACCTAAGAAACCTAAGAAACCTAAGAAAACCTAAGAAAAACCTGAAAAACCTAAGGAACCTTAAAAGAACGGCGTAAGAAACCTAAGAAACCGAAGAAACATAAAAAAATAAGAACAATAACCTAAGAAACATAAGAAAACCTAAGAAACCTAAAGAAACCTAAGAAACCGAAAATACATAAAAAATATAAGGAAAATAACCTGAGAAACCTAAGAAACCTAAGAAACCTAAGAAACCTAAGAAACCTAAGAAACCTAAGAAAACCTAAGAAAAACCTAAGAAACCTAAGATACCTAAGAAACCTAAGAAACCTAAGAAAACCTAAGAAAACCTAAGAAACCTAAAGAAACCTAAGAAACCGAAGAAACATAAAAAATATAAGGAAAATAACCTGAGAAACCTAAGAAATCCAAGAATTCTAAGAAAC